TTTACTTACGTTTACTTTTTAGCTGTTGCTTATCATTTTTGTATCTCTACTGAGATTCAGTTTGAAAGGCAAATGGGAAAACCCATAAAACAGCAAACGGCCATATAAAGAAAAACAATTTAAAATAGACTTACTGTGTATGTGTTTATTTAAATGACTATGTATACCAGACTACCGTAACTAACAGGAAATATTGTAAATTGCATTTGTGGCAAAGACAAGCCAAACCAGTTACTCTTTGCAAAAATCAATTTTTTTGATATTAACACAGGGTTAAGCAGTAAAATTAAAGTTATAAAATGGTAAAAGAATCATTTAAATCTGACATTTCCTTATGAAGTTACATCAGTTTAAACATACAGCTGTTTAAATGACAGTATTTGAGAAATCAGCTTCAAAGTTTATGATTTCGGCCATTTCTCAGGCAGGCCATCACCAAATCATTAAAAAATGTTGTTTATAACGAGGACAATAACAACATAGCATGGTGTATAGATATGTAAAGTTTAGTTTGTGCAATAAAATAGATTTTGAAGAATGTTGACATTCTAACATGTTTTGGCCATTATGTCCGAAATACAATTTGCAATGAGTGATTAGTTTGGCTTGTCTTCGCCACATTTGGTTATTTTCTGGGCGATTCCTGATTGCTTGTGGAAGTGCGGGAGGCCTTTACGATTTCCGGGAGACTCCTGCGATTTGCCGGAGATTTGCAGTACATGATGTGAACAAGTCGAATAGAATCTGTTTTATTTTCATGACACAGAAAGCATTTGCATTTCTCTTGAATGATTGCAAACTAAAGCATAACAACGTCCACATCGGATCAGTGTTCGTCAACAAAGCTAGTGAATGGAAGCTAGGCGGAGTGGCGTATATATGTGCTGCAGAGGGAGAGGGGAGCAGCCCACCGGTCAAGGGGCTCCAAGGTCTGCAGAAATATGACCCACCAGAGATGTCTGAAACAACTGGACGAATGAAGAAGAAAACACATATTTGGTAATATGAAATAAACTTCATTAATAATAATACTCGGTGTTCATACTGTCATTAGCCAAATAGCCAAATCTTATTAAAAGCTGAATTTTGCTAAATATTTTCAATCAAAATTATCTAAAAAGCTATTGGAATTAAAAACTATCATTGCTTATATTAGTAAAATTGCTAAAAATATTTGTTTGGCCTACCTTAAACCCGGAATATGGGGAATATGGATAACAGTGTTTATTGGATTGTAATAAATTTTGTAAGGTGAAGGGCATATATTTTGGTTGTCTGTTTAGCATCATTTGATTTACACCCTTTCCCAGATCATTGATCCTGATAACCACCTAGCTGCAACTCTCTTTTTCCCAGAGCCTGGATATATTCCTGGAAAATTAAAGCTGAAAATTCAACAATTTACTCTTTTGCAATTTAAATACACATGTAGAATATGATCATAAGTACCATAAGTTTGCCAAAAAAAATTTAGAACCAAAAAAATTCAATAAAATAACTTAAAAGATCAAATAAGTTTAATAACAGATCCAACCAGGTTAATATTTCGCTGATTTACAGACATTTTACTACGATACTGTAATCCTAAAATTGATTACCAGCCCATTTTAGGGTCTATGTAAAAGGATATCAGAAAAAGTTGTTAATTTGACAGTGCTAACTCTTAATTGTGAGTTAATAACTTATTTAAATATATACAAAGTAGGCATTACAATTATAAAATTGAGTTTTTCCAGTTTTTTAGCTGATGAAAAGACAGTACATTTTTAATATTGCATTTGCTTTGCAGGTCTGCTGATATGTGGGGTTTAGGCTGTCTTGTATGGGAGGTATTTAATGGACCCCTTCCTCGCACATCCTCTCTGAAGGCCTTAGGCAAGGTAAGTTTATCTTCTCATAATTTTATTGTTTCTCATATCCTTATTTTTTATTTTCTTGTTACTGAATGTTATTGAATAATTTTTAATTATTTTATTGGTAATTTTGTTTTAATTATTATGATTAATATTATAGAATAATTCTTAATTATTTTAATGGTAATTTATCATTATGATTAGTACTATTAATTACTTTATATTTTTATCTTAATTATCCAATCATATAAATTTGTGATGTCCATGTATATTGCTATATATTGTAAAAGACTTCACTCGCCTGATGAAGCCCCATTGACTGGGGCAAAAGCTTGTGAAATAAAATTCATTGTTAGTCGAAAAAGTGCTACTCATTTGTTTCATTAGTATACACTGACTAATACGGCTACACCACTTTTTTGATTAATTACTTTGAAATTGATATCATTTTTATATTCCTTTAATTGGTAATTAATATGTTTATAAGTTATGAATTACTTTAATTGGGATAATTTCTTTACTAAATTAAATAGGATTTCACAATTACTTTAATTAATATTATTTATAAATTGCTTTAATTGATAGAATTAATTATTATAATAATATAATTTCTTAATGACTTTATTACTCATTATAATAATGTACTAAATTAAATTTAATACTTTAGTTTATATTTTTCTTCTTAATAATGTACAGATTCCAAAGTCATTAGTAAGTAACTACTGTGAGTTGGTTGGTGCAAACCCATTGTCAAGACCAAACCCAGCAAGGTTTTTACAATTCTGCCAGGAACCAAATGGGTTCATGGACAACATTTTTGTCAAAACAAACATGTTTTTAGAGGAAATTCAGGTTAGTGCCAGTAGAAGCTTATAATTAGGGACCCATAATTAGATAGGAGCTGTTGTGTGGTTTCAAACTGCTCACCTTCCTGGACTTAATTACCTGATATGAATTGCAAATCCTAAAATTATTGCCTGTACATTTAAGGTGTATCAAAATATTTATATCGGAACAATGTTTATGCACCTGTTTTCTTGTTCTAGTTACCTCCACCAAAGGAGGTATGTATTCACCACTGTCTGTCTGTCTGTCTGCCTTTTTGCAAGATTAGCAGAAACTAATGAATGGTTCATCATAAAATTTAGTGGAATGTCAAAGAGCCCCTTTTGAGCGAAAAAATATGTGTACAACTTACCTGTTATTTTACCGGTACATACTTTCTAAAACCGCTCAGATACTCGCCTAATTAACTTACCATCTGGATTATCCGTGACATTTTGACCACCAAATTGCTGGGTAAAATACTATGTATGGGATGACCTTGGAGTTGGAGGCGACGATAAATAAACCTTATTTGGGAAGAAAAGACAAAAGATAGAGTCAAGGTCATTTTTTTTACCCCCGAGCATAAGAGAAAATAATGGAATAACCCATTATACACAACCTGCCTATTGTTTTCAATATTAGGCACTGGGTGGAATTATGCACTCTATGGAGTGACTGCTGCTTTACTTTTCAATTAAAAGTCAATAGCTTGGATGTACAAAGCAAGTAATAGACACATCCGCAAGGTTTGTTTACAGCCTCACGTGACATATAGTGGGTATTACTATGGAGAATTTACAGTGCGATCAGTATAGGAAAGGGTAATGTTACGGTTTTGAAAACATTCGCCCACCATTAATAAAAAAAAAAGGCAGTATGATTGTTCAAAATAGTGTTTATTTACTTATTCTAGCGTTCAATGTGCTTTTTATGCTTTTGAATTTATATGATCCTTCGTTAACCTAAGCTAGCCTAGAAATCGTAGCGTTCATGGATCGAAGACCCTCAAGCATACCTAAAGAGACCATAGACATGCTGAGGCCTAGGCCTAGCATTTCGTGAAAAATCTCAATGTTTGGGGCTAATATCTCTTGGAGCATTAGCAAACCATTATGGTAAAACTCTCAATTTCAATTTCAGTCAATTTGGAATAGTTACTGGCATTCCAACCAACATTATTCAATATCAAATATGTGCTTTACTACACAAACGCCCGTGTACGCGTTTTTCTCTTACCCAACCTCGCTCGTGCTGCATGTTTACAATTGATACCCACCATACGTCACGTGACCAACCTAGTGGAATGTGTCTATTAAACAATTTTTCCCCTAATTTTTAACTCAAAAGAGATAATATATAGTGTTGAAAGTTATTGCAGGTATTATTAATTATATAAATATTGTGTATTATAAATTTTTATATAATTTTATAGATTAAAGATGCAATAGAGAAGAACAAGTTCCTAGCTGGATTGAGTTCAAGTCTTGATGATTTTCCTGAGGAATTCTGCCGCTACAAAATCCTTCCATTACTTCTCCAGGCCTTTGAGTTTGGCAATGCAGGCTCTGCTGTTCTTACTCCTTTATTGAAGGTACGGTTGGTTTACAGCAGGGGTTCTCAAATATATTTTAACAGGGGCCAAGTTTGTAGATTGAATCAATTTGAAGGGGATGTGATCAAAAAAAGAAGGTGAGAGGTGTGGCAATAGTAGGCCTATACTGTACAGTAATTATTTAGGCTTGTTGTTGCTTGCCACACTCGCAGGCTGAAAGTTTTCCAGGTGTGTTTGATGATATAATTGGATGTTGAGCTGTCACTGATGCACCAAAATATCTAGATAGGCTTGCATACAGCAGTTAAAATATATCAGGTTTTAGTAAAAAAATCTAATCTTGACTAACCATACTTTTCCATTTAAAGGCAACACAGTTTTTTGGCCGTATAAATGAGCATCATTATTTTATTCAAAACAGTATTAATTTCTCTCTTTTTTTCAGCTTGGTAAACTCTTAGAAACAAGTGAATACCAATCGAGAGTAATGCCATGTGTAGTCAAGATGTTTTCATCAACAGATAGAGCAACACGCATTAAATTGCTGCAGCAGCTGGAGAGCTTCATAGAGTATATACAACCTGCAGTGGTCAACGATCAGATCTTCCCACATATATGCCACGGGTTTATGGATACTAACCCTGCCATTAGGGAAAGCACTGTAAAGGTAAACAAAGCTTTGGAAATGTCTTCCAGAAAATCCACTGTTCCCTACCCCAAAGCTGTAGAATAGCCCTAAGGAGATGTTCATGGTTTTCAATACTGAACAAAAATCAATGGAAAAGCCTTCTGTTCTGATTCTGGCCGACAACCCAAGCAAACGTCGAGGCAATTTGGAACAACCTACTACCCTGGATGATAAAAAACAGCTAAATGGGTCACTAACTTGTAAACAAAATTGAAGGAAAATTTTGAAAGGATACTTTATGGAAAAAATGAAAGGGCAGTCTGCTCAGAATTGCTCATCAACCAGTGCTCACTACTAAATATATTGTATCCTTCTTTCTAGGCCATGATACTTCTGGCACCAAAACTGAGCGACCACAACTTAAATGTAGAAGTGATGAAACACTTTGCACGTCTACAGTCTAAGGATTCTCAGGTTAGTGAATTCAGTTATTGTTTAAATTGCCTCACTTGGTTTTATGTGACTGATATGTGTGTATACACAGTTTGATGATATCATATCACACTCATATGGACAAGTCGTCAGCATTTCTAATGCCTAAAGTGGACAAACAAGAGCAGCTGGTAGCGGTTTACTCAGACAGGAGGGCGAGACTTTTAGGCGAGAAGCAAGTTACTAATACAAGTTCTAATAACTAATTCAATGCTTTGTGACTTTGCGCTATATAAATCCAACTAAATTGCATTACATTACAAAATATATGGGTGTGGACAGCTTAGCTTAAAAGGACATGTTATTGTTTTAGCAATGTACTCAATGTCAGAGTAAAATTATGCATTAGTTGACCTACAGGGAGTAACATACAAGTAAAAAAAAAATCAAGTATTTGAAAATTAGATTGAAAAAATTGTTTTCCTTGAAAATTTACAGATACATCTATGTATATATAAATACCTATATTCTTTTGCATATTCTGGTACTCAATTTAAGGATTTCTGTAGTAAAAGAATATGTAAATCATTTGAAACATTTTTGTTTCATCTTGGTGTCATTGGAAGGTATATGTGTCATTGGAATTTGGTACTTATATGTAATTATTTTCAATTTAGTGTTCAGTATTTTAATGAAAATCTCAATTACTTATTAGATAAAAAAAAAATCATGTATAAAGTCCACATTATAATTAGCTTATTAACGTAGGTTAATTTGCAACATGAGCGTATCATTACTGACAACATTATTGTTCTTTACATACATAGCTATTGTATACGCTTAAATAAACATCTCCTGAACGATAAACAATCCAAGGCATTTATTCCAATAAATACTGGATAAATACATTTACACAGCCATACTTTCTGTACAGTATTAGTCACTATAGTAATTTGACTTAGCATCAGTAGGGTGAGGCTAGCAGATATAATTATGTGTGTAATCATTTGAATTAACCATCTAAATGCTGGAAGCTTTGCTGCAAAAAATCTTGCCTTGAGATCCAGACCCCCACCATTGCCCCAAGTCCCAGATCTGCTCTCGGCAGCCCTAGTGATTTGTATCTCACCACAGTTACTTTTGGTTTTAATTATTTGAAGTAATTTTGATATAAAAACAATGGATTTGTTTTATAATCCAGGGTGGTATACGAACCAACACAACCGTATGTCTTGGAAAAATAGCTTGTTATCTCAACCCAACAGTGAGTATATCATTCAGTATGAAATTAAATTTACCATATATGAATTTAGGAACAAGTATAAAAAACAATAAGATATTAATTGAAGTTGCATGAAAATGAGGATATTTGCATTATTTTAGAAGTTTATTCATAGTGGTAAATGTCAATAATAGTAAAGTAATTCAGTGCTAAAAGAAATAGGAAGGGGAAGATGAACAAATAAATTTAGTATATTTGAAACAGAATTTATTATTGTAGCAAGGTTTTTCTTTTTTGTTTGCCTTTAAACACGTTTGGTCCATCTGGCAGAAGTGGTAACTAAGGACTTTTCAAATTAATCTACAATTAGATTATTTAATATGGCATAATAATCATGGAACAACTAAGTCACAATCAATAATTATGATATAGATTAAATCATGAAAATCTAATTGCATTCTACAAAGGTTTTTAAACACAAGGTAAAGATGTACTATAATTGTAATGGTTATATCACATTCAAATTTATTATAATATTACTTGTAAGAATGATTTTTATTTTGTATATAAGAATTAATCTTTATCCATGATCTTTCATCCCTCAATCCTTTCAACCTTTGACCTTTACAGACCAGACAGAAGGTGCTATTATCTGCGTTTACTAGAGCAATGAAAGACCCGTTCCCACCATCTCGTATTGCAGGAGTCATGGCTATGCATACTTGTCACAACTTCTTTGCCGTGAGAGACACAGCGCTCCGAATACTACCGGCAATGTGTGCTCTCTCTGTTGACCCAGATAAAAGTGTTAGGGACCAGGTAAGTTGAGAATTTGATTTTTATAATATATTATTTGATCTATCCTTGATTCCTTGGTCATTTGACTCGTCTAATCAAGGATCAAGTGTTCAAGTGTGAGTTCTTGGATAGGTGATTGCCAATGTACTGTGTGTAGCATGTTCCATAGGTTGCATAGACCAGATAAGAATTTTAAGAATATAGAGGCCTTTACAATGTGTAATTTAATGGCAACCTAATGCTTATGTTCAAAATATATTTCATATTTTGATGATAGTTTTGATGATGACAATGTCTGGAATATATGTGATGAGAGATAATTAGAATATGTGGACAAGCCAAACCGGTCACTTGTCGCAAAAATTGATTTTGAGCAGTTAATACAGGGTAAAATAAGAGCTATTCAATGGTGTTTAAAGAAAAATTTATGAGAAATTAGCCTTCAAAGTTTATTATTTGGGCATTTCTCATGCAGAAACTATCATCAAATTTTTAAAGAGTGTTGTTTTAACATTGAAAACAACAGCATAGTATGATGTATAGATATATAAAGTTGAGTTTAGTGCAATAAAATAGATTTTTTTAAATTTGACATTCCACCATGTTTTGGCCATTTTCTCTAAAACACGATTTACGTCGAGTCACTGGCTTGGCTTGTCTTTGTCACATATTCTGTTATTAGAGACTTAGCAAAATTGTTGATAATATTTTTTCTTTCAGACTTTTCGTGTTATCAAACTTTTTGTACAGAAGTTAGAGGATGTTTCAGAACACCCAGAAAAGTTAATAGAAATTGGTAAATTAGATTATGTTTTATATTTTGATAAATTGATTGTGATTGGGGAAATTTGGTAAATGTTGATTACTGGTGGAAATTAGTTAATATTGATTACATTATTAGGGAGATTTCGCAACCTTACAAAAACAAATACAAATGCATCATTATCATCATCGTCATCAGTGCCTAAAACATTCTTGAAAATATTCTCTACGAGCTGAGTATGATTCTTAATTCATGCAAAAGGCCTGAAGTAATCGTTAATGTTTTCGTAAGCTTGCAGAAACTCCCTATTGATGGAGCTTTCTTCTTAATGGAAATTGGTAAATATTATTGATAGAAAGTCATGTAAAAATATGTATTAGATAATTGGTGGTAACATGTTTTTGTATATAATTACAGAGGCTGATGTAAATTGTGCGTCCAGTAGTCAGCAGAATAATGCCGCTGGTTGGGCAGGGTGGGCAGTTACGTCACTGACCTCACGATTCTATAAAGGGAGCCACCAACCTATTCAATCGGAACAAAAACAAAGCAATGAAGGTGAATAGTAATTATTAAACGCTGCTCCATTATTCATTCAAACTATAATAATAGATACATATTTCATTTATAATCATAAAGTTGATGATAATTAGGATTGAATATATATCAAGGTATCTTTATTCATAAAACACAAGCATCGAAAATCACAACAAAATTTACTAGGAGTTGAAAATCTGAATGGTGAAAAAATGTTTACAGAATATAATAGTTTATTATTTTTCACATTACAAACCATGATGATAATGATTTGGATTATGATGGGTGATGTTGGTGATGGTGGTGTTGATATTAGCATTTTTCGTTTTGACTACGCGGCCAGTCTACTACGAATTTATAGAGCGTAACAGATATCTGCGCATGCTCACAAACCTTACTGGCTAAATCGGCGTTGTGACAGCTTCCGCGACAACCCCAATTTCTGAATTTGGCGTAGTGGCGACTACCCTAATACTGACCAATCAGATCACCGGATTGTTTAGCAAACTGCTGGTAACTTTTTTGTTGGGGTTGCAATTTTCATCTCATCCGCGATCGAGCATTATTCGTTTATAATGAATTAATTATTAAAACAAGTGAGTAATTAAATGTATTATATAAAGGCCTATTTCAAAACATGCCATAAATGAGGAATGAATAGTCACAACATAAATTTAGGTAAATCAGGGGATAGTGAAAAATGAGCCTTAGGCCTAGGCTAGCCTTGTCAGGGTGGATTTCAGGTAGGAGAAAACACATTATATGGTGCCGCTAGCTAGGGCATCCGCCCTTGATATCGTGGATCAAGACTTGCTATATAAATTAAAATACCTCTGTTTAAAATTGTTACTTATTTGTACATCATCATTGCATTTGGCAAATTGCCTGAGCAGGCCTGACACCCCTCTTCTCCCGGTAACGACTCTTTTGACACCTAGGGCCTAGGCTAGGCTGGCCTAGCCTAGCCTAGGTACGTCTAGATCCTAGCCAACAGCGAAACATCACTCAGTGTTTACTGGAAACTTTTAATTTTGTATACAGTATTTGGCTAAAGTTTTTTTTTCACATTTCCTTTTTCAAATATAAAACAAGGGAACATTGTTCTCTGGTAATACCATGGTCGACTAACTCACCTCCGTAGGCCTACGTGTGTGCTGCGTCGTCGTAGTCGCCTTAAAAAAACGAAAACAGCTCTTGGTCTACTACGCAACAATGTCTTGGCGTTACCGTCACGCTCCATTAGTTCGTAGTAGACTGGCCGCGTAGTCAAAACGAAAAATGCCTATTATAATTGTGGGAGGTGGGGGCGGGAGGGGTGATGATGCTAAATGATGATTGACAATGATAGTGAAGTAGAGGATGGTGTTGTGATGGTGGTGATGAAGATGATGATGAAGTTAATGTTGCCAGTTATAATGATGATAATTATGGTGATTGTGGTCTTGATAGTGGTGGGGATGATGTTGGTGTTGATGATTATAACAACTATAATAATGATGATGGCGGAAAGTATTATGATGATGATGATGTATTGATAATATCAACTTTTTAAATATAATTTTGCTTTATTGATTTGAATGAATGGGATCATCCATTTCTTTTTAAAAAAGAAAAGAAAGTATAAAAACTATGCTGGTGATAAAGTTATGCTTATTTTGTAATATAAAAAACGTAATCTTAATAAAAAGGTAAGTTCATTTATCATTTGTGATTTCAGTCAAGAAAAAGGATGATAACTTAGATGGTAACAAAGATTCTGTACCAAAGAAAGAGGAACGCATCAAAGATGCAGAGAAATATGATACTGCAGATTCTGCCTCAGACTACGGAGATGAGGAAAAGGATGATGATGATGATGGTGGAGGATGGGAAGATGATGGCTGGAATAATACAGAGGTTGGTTGATATATCCATGATTTTTCTTTAAATTCATTGTTAGGCGAGATTTTTTTTTTATACCTTTAAAAGCAAACCCACATCCCGGCAATAATGTTGATTTTGAATAAAAAAAATTTCTGCTAATTAGTGCACCCGTCACCACGAAAAAAATGGAAATTTAAAAAAAAAAAAGTTTTTATTTATTTTTATTACGCCCGTCGCTGCCTTGAAAAAAAATATGATATGTATTTTTCTTCCTACTGTAATTTGTAAATTTAAAGCATTTAACCATCCCACACTGTTTACATTCACCAATAAAATTTGCTAAATAACAAAACAAAATTTTATTTTAATTTTTTTTCCGCCCTCCTCTGATGATCTTAAAAAAATAAGTTTGCAAAACAAGGTACAAAAAAAATCTCACTTTACATGAAATAAATGAACAGAAAACTTTAGGAAATGTTGTAGAATTAAGCATTTCATAAGGTATGGTGTTGTTTTCCTAAGCAGTTATTGGAAGGAGACGTCTGTTAGTCATTGATTCTATATGTTTGCATGGGAGTGACAGGTGTCGCAAACATATTTTGCTGATATTTTTTACATTTTGAATGTTTAGAAAATAATAAATACAATATGAATAGAAATTGTTTTGTTAGTTGTAAAGGGAACAATTTAAATTTGTTCCCATGTTATTAATATTATAGTAAAATAATAAATTATATAACTATTCAACTTTTGAGACTTGCGCACTGTGATCTTTATGAAATAGCACTTAATATAGGAATAGATTTATTGTTAGTACTGTAGTTGTTTTTTTTTTTGTTGTTGTTGCTTCTGTTGCCATTGTCTGTTTCCCTAATGCTTTTATTTCCATTAAAAATCCATAGTAACAATTTATTTTTAATGTTGCTTTCAGAGTATTTCTTCAAGTAAAAAGGATAAATCTGACCATTCAGATAAATGTGAGGAAGACAGTGATGGTTGGAACAATAATGAGGATGAACAATGGGGGTCAATTGAAACACCATCAGGAAAACCATCTTCAAAATCAACTTTATCGTCAACAAAAGTTGGCGGAGGAATGAAACTTGGTGCTAAGAAACAATCGGACAATTTCTTTGGAGATTGGGAGGAAGATGGCTTATCATCAACAAAACTAAAACAAACAGCAAGTAAAAAGACGGAAAAGGGGCAGAATGTTGCAAAGAAAAAAACTAGTAGACCCTCAAGTTCAGAAACTAATGACTTTGGAAATTGGGATGCTGACGGTGATGGGTGGGGGGAAATTACTACAAGTTCAAAAGTTCAAACCAAGACAAAAGGGAAGGATAGAAGACCTGCTCAGAAGAAACAAAAGGATGATGATTTTGGATGGGGGATGGATGACGACTGGGGTAGCATGGACACTCCTGCTTGTAGTGATAGCAACACATTTTCTGTGGAGAATACTGATAGCCTTGGTGATAGTGGAGGATGGGGTGATGATGATGACTGGGCACCAATTGAGGAGAAACCAAAAGTGAGTTTATTAATGTTGGTATTCATTTTAGTTTAAATTATCATAGTAAAATTCTTTTGGTAAATCATTCAAAATTAATGATTTAAATGTTATTATTGATTTGCATACTTAAGTGCCAAGCTTAAGATGAGACAACTTTTAATTACCTTATTAATAGCGAACCTTTTTTATAAAGATTGTCAGAGGAGGGCAGGGAAAAAAATTGTTTTCATAGTTAGCAAAAGAGTTTTGCCAAAAGCATCTATGCCTAGGTGGAGGAGAAAAATAATAATAAAATTTTGTTTATAAATATAAACAGTGTTAAATTTATGCTGTACATATTAAGATAGAAATATATATCTTATTTTTATGGGACCGAGTGCGTAATAAAAATAAATATTTTTTGTTTTCTGAAATTTCCATATTTTTGTGGTGAAGGGTGCGCTAACTAGCCAAAAATGATATTTTTAAAATTTTAAATCACCTTATTCGCTAAACAAGGTAAACAAACCTTGCCAAATGAATTAGATTAAAATTATAACAGAATTTGGAATCATTGTACATATTATGTTCTCTATGCTAAATATGAAACATCACAGTTTGAAGACAGCAATAAGAGGATGGATATTATGTTTCGGGGGTAGTGATCTTAAATTAATAATAATTAATAATTACTGTCCTTAATAATGGAATAATGTATAACTGTTTTTAGGATGTCTCTATATTATGGTTTTAGTAAATATATTGTGGAATTACAGTTTTGTAATTTTACATATGTTTTTATTTATTTAGTAGAAACTCTATTATAGCCCACCCTATTTAGAGTAGCTTCTAATTTTACAATATGCAAATATGGTCCTTATTTATAAATAAAATCTTTCTTATCTATATTTTTTTGTTTTAGTGATATCATTTTCCATTTATTTCACCATTCACTGTTGGTCCTATAACAATACGACCATTAGGCCAAATAGAAAAAATTATTGTTTGGCCACGCCCGACCGACCCAAATTTTAGGACATTCAGGGTCGGCATTTTATTTATTTATTTTTTTTTTTTACTACAAGGAACAATATTTTTTACTTTTCTCATGAGCTAATAAGGCTGAAATAGCCTTGGACTAGGCTAGGAGGCAAGGCCTTGCCTGTTTCGGTGCATGGTTACGTGCTGGGAATATAAAACTGTATTATTTTGTGTATTTTATACTTTTTAAGCGTAAACACATTATTGGTTTAAAAAAAAAAGTTTTCCTACCGACCTACTCATTTTTTGGATTTTCCCAAAACGTGGCCAACACAAATTTTTTTTTTTTTTTTTGGCATTATGGTTCCACCTCTGCATTAAGAGGCATGCCCTTAAATTAACTTTCCACTACATTTCACTACTCATTGTTGTTTGATGTCATTGCTTGATGATGACTAACCAATTGCTTGAAAAGTACCATGCATGCATACTAATTCCTGTAATCTAACCGACTTACATTATGCACAGTGGTCCTTGCTTTATGCTTGATTATTTGCAACAAGTTTCACTACTTTTGTTTTTTTGTTTGTTTTCATTTGTGAGGAATTGCATTGCTATGTGGTTTCTAGTTCTGCGTTTTGAATGTCCTCCCAATCCAATCCAAACTACGACTTGCTTGTTTGAATACAGTAGATAAAATTAAAAATGATAACATTTACAGATTATTTAAAAATATAATTCACAGTGTGTGTGTGTGTGTGTGTGTGTGTGTGTGTGCATGTAAACATAATAAATAATTATTTACATGTTTTTTCTATTGTTGCCTTCTAAATATTCATATAAATCCATTATTTACATTTATGTACAAAATTGCATGATATTAAAACAGCGAACAAGACAGGTTGAAAACTAATTAATGAAAAAAATACCATACTATTTAGTATATTTAATAATTATCTATTTTTAGTAATGTAGACTTTAATCTTATAAAGAAAATATCAACAGTTAGGAAAAATTAAGTCTATTATACTTTATATAAATACATTGAAAACAAGATATATTTTGCTTTCATAACAACTGACTTATTGAATAAATACATGTAGTTGATGTTGATGGTATGCTATAGGATCTGTGGCTATGGTTACATAGATTAAAATAACAAAACAAGGAGAATAGGCAGCTGAAATTAATCTGGTATTTAATGTGTTTCATTATTCAGCATTTCTGTAAAACGTATTATAATATTTATAAGCCTGTCAAGAAAAGAAATGCATGGAAAGCTAAAAGAAAGAACTAAAACACAGTAGGCCCACATATTTTACTTTGTTTAGTGTACATATATAATGCTTCAAATAATTTGTGCTGTAGTTTTAATTGGTATAATACACAAATGAAAACAAAAATTTGAATAAAAAATAATATAATAAATGAATCTATCTGTGAAGTCTTTCACTGATTACTTAGACTTCAAGAAAAAGAAGAGAACAATTTTATGTTTAAAATAATTATAATACATAGATATTTCCCTTTTAGATAGAATATGACATCAGTGTTGTGAATAATGACAAAATTACATAGTTAAATCTTATTTTTTAAAGAAAATATCAACAGTTAGGAAAAATTAAGTCTATTATACTTTATATAAATACATTGAAATCAAGATATATTTTGCTTTCATAACAACTGACTTATTGAATAAATACATGTAGTTGATGTTGATGGTATGCTATAGGATCTGTGGCTATGGTTACATAGATTAAAATAACAAAACAAGGAGAATAGGCAGCTGAAATTAATCTGGTATTTAATGTGTTTCATTATTCAGCATTTCTGTAAAACGTATTATAATATTTATAAGCCTGTCAAGAAAAGAAATGCATGGAAAGCTAAAGAATGAACTAAAACACAATAGGCCCACATATTTTGCTTAATTTGTTTAGTATATATGGATAATGCTTAAAATAATTTTTAATTGGTATAATACACAAATGAAAACAAAAATTTGAATAAAAAATAATAAATGAATCTATGAAATTTTCCACTGATTACTTAGACTTCAAGAAAAAGTAGAGAAAAATTTTATGTTTAAAAATAATTAAAATACATAGATATTTTCCTTTTAGATAGAAAATATAACATCAGTGCTGTGAATAATGACAAAATTCCATAATGAATATGGATACTATGAACATGAAGGGATTAAAATAACAATAGTGAGACATACCCAGCTGAAATTAGACTGCTAGTGATATAGCTCTTATAATGTCAATAGCAACCTTTGTATATACAGTGAAAACAAATTGTAATATTTTTATGAGCCTATTACATAAAAAAAAAACGCATGTGATGCTAAACAACTAAAATCATATTTTGATGATGCTTCAACCAACAGGCACTGCAGTTTTTTTAATTATTATTAATACAATAATATTAAAAAGAAAACCAATATTAAAATATGCATCTGCATATTCTAAGTTAAAAATGCATGTGATGCTAAACAACTAAAATCATATTTTGATGATGCTTCAACCAACAAGCACTGCAGTTTTATTAATTATTATTAATACAATAATATTAAAAAGAAAACAAACATTAAAATATGCATCTGCATATTCTAAGTTAAAGGACGTCTCTTTCACTGTTAGACTCCCCCACCAGGCTGGAATGATGACCTAGACTTCAAGAAAGTAGAGTCCGACCTCGCACCAGCCAGTGCATATGACTGGGGAAAGTCCGAAGCCACTGATGATTTTTTATCTATTGGAGGAGCAAATGCAGAAGAAGTAAGGCAAATTCCAAAAATTCAACAAAATACCTAGGGTACCACCATTGAACCTTTAAATATTATTTTCATTTTTATTTTTGCCAATTTAAACCTTGTTTCATATTTTTGTAAAGATTTTTTCCCAGTAATTTCCTTTCTACATCTGCAAATATATTCTGGGTTATACACTTCTTTTTGCCAATCATTTTTTGTTCTTCATTTACATTATCTTTGCACAATCCAACTGATGTATCTCCTCTTCGTATACCATTTACTTGCGTCTTGGTATAGCTAAAGGTGTTATTCAGCAGACAATAAAGTGGTCAGCAATTAAAACCCTGAGTACTTAGAATTCATGTAAACATTTGTGAGCCTTGAGATACTGTAGCCCAGAAGTTGTAGTGTGGCAAAAAAATTTTCCATGCCTACAGTAATCTGGTTGTATATCTTTATATTTGGGATAGTATATTTTGGAGCATTAGCAAACCATTTTGACTATGTCCCCATGTTCCATTACCATGCAATTTTAAGTTGATTGTTCTGTTTTTTTTAAATTATTATTATTATTATTTTCTTTCAAATATATTTCTAGAATGCCTTAAACTAACTGTTGGTGGTAGTAATTGACTAACAAAGTGTATTTCTATTTTGGAGTTAAAAATAGTGGGTAGCTACAAGTTGTCTAATACTGTTAAAATGAAAACTGCAGGTGGACAGCTGTAAAACAATAAAATGTTTGTACTAGATTTACACTAGACACGATTGACATGTCAACAACATATCATCGCGTAGTTTGTATTCTTCAACACTGCGAGCATCTGTATTGTGTCGTTATCGTGTCGTAATCGTATCTAGTGTAAATGTGGCTTAAGTCCGCAAAGTCCTGTCACAGGTGTTTTATAAACCTCTGTGGTTTCATTGAGAGTGCTAAGCCTCGGTTATAAAAAAAAAACTCATACATATAGACCAGGAGTTTATTATGCGAGGCTATATTTTCAAAATTAGGTCTTAATTTTAATAGTCTAGGCCTATTTAAAAACTAATAGTAATTACAAATTTCCAAAAATTGAATGAGTAGAAAAATAACATCAAAATCGGAATGGACAGACTCTTGTTTAATGTCACTGAGGATGTTTTTGCGGAAGTAAATTTGTTTAATACCTTTAGGGATTAAAGTCAAACAATGTATTGTCTGTTATTCTCTATTATTACCTCCTGTGTTTGTGTATTATTAGTCAGCATGGAGTGTTTTTGTTGCCTATCAAATAATAGGCTATTCAGATTGGTAATTGAACTATTGCCATCTAGACATTTGGATGCAATTCTTCTAAACAATGATGGTATAGTATTAATAGCTCCCTGGTTTCAAATTGGAATTTCCAGATTTTAGGAATTACTTAAAAGCTAAAACCTTTTAGGTTTGATAATTTTCTGTATATCTCATAGAGATATTAATTTATTACTCCAAAAATGCTTTGTGTATATAGTGATGTTCCCAAGCTTGGAGCACTGTCCACAAACCTTGGTTATGACATTGTACATTACTATGATATATTTATTACAATCTAAATTATGTGTGCACACAAACTTGATTTTTATATGTGACTACATGTGCAAGCTTGGGACTGTAATGATATATAATTGCGACCCAAGCTCAGAAAAGGGCTGTAAACTCGTCCTCAGGCCAAAATGAGTTTTTGTTATAATGGCATAAAACATATCATTTACTGTAAAATGACAGTTAAATGAACTCAATCGGGTGTCTGGAAACAAAGTTATGACCGTTTGAATAATTGTCATTTTATCAACTTTCTTAAATCAAGTTTTGAGAAAAATGCTTTTATTTTCGGCAGGTTTCTATTAATTTTTCACTAGCTCCCATCCTAAAATGGCTAAATTTTACCTCCTACAGTTATAATTTTAAACTCAAACTTAAGGAATAGTAAGATTAAAAGTTATACTATATTTATTACACAAAAACCCAATTCACAAAAAATTCATATTCTACCCCCTATTTATGGAGGCATGTTTCTCAATACAGTGCAGTGCAAGTTTACAGCCCTTTTTTTGATATTGAAGTTCTGTCCACATATAAATAAATGCTAATGTGGAGAATATTCTATCCAACTGATGTTAAAAGGCATACTACTATTTACTTGGTGAGGAAAGGTTTTTTGTAGGAAATATTTCTTGTTAACTTTGGGTTTGCTATTTACTTACTATGTGGGGAAGTGTGTGTGATTTCATATGTTTGCAGCTCATTTCAGGGGGGATTTTAATTTGATGAATTTCTGATCATTGCCTGTTAGGAAGAGCTCTGTAACTTGGTGGCTTTTGCTGCTCATTAATTAGGGGGGGCAGGGAATGGTGAGGGTGTATTTCCCATTATTCTCAAACTTACCCAATCAAATGCTACCTCCATAAGCTTCATAATACCATTTTCTTTGTAGAAAGATCATCAAACTCTAATTTATTTATATCCTGATATGAAAAAACAATATCAAACCTATTAATTTCACATTTAGGCTAAGATGGGCTCTCTTGGAGTAAAGACAAAATCAAAGCCAGCTCACAAGGCCTCTCCAGCAAGGATGAAGCCAGGCCCCACATCCTCCCTTTCAAAGCCTCACAAACCAGCCAGTAAGAATAAGGCAGATGAGTGGGGTACTGAGAGTGGATGGGGAGGGGCAGAAGATAACTGGGGAGGTGTAGAAGATGGCTTTGGAGGATCTGTATCAGGTAGGATTGGAAAATTATCAGTTTGAATTTCCCATGAGTGTTTCTTGTGTGATGTTTACACAGACAACTCTGATTGTGATTCTGATCGTAATCATGATTGTTTTGGTATGGTGCCAAGATTTGTAAAGCAAAAGTCATTGTAAGCTCTGAACAAAAGTTGGCAGGAAAGCTAATAATAATGAATGAGATGCTGCAAGAAATATGTTCTTGTTTACCAGAAAGTTTTCTGCACCCCAACTACCGGACCAATCATTGTTCAATAAGTAACTTCATAGTTCTAACAGAAACACACACAGACTGTTTTATGTTTATTGACCTTCGATATACCGTGAGCAGTACAAACTACATAAAGTGGCATATTCAAAACATTGCTGTGGATCAGTTTATACCGTAAAGCTTCTGAAAAAAAAGTTGTTGCCAGTTAATCTTTTTTTAATTAGCAAACATGCAAACATATTTTTTAAAAGCTATAGACACCATCTTCAGGATCACTGTCTTAAAACTCTTAAAATTACATTGTGGATTGAGATAGAGTGAATGAGATTATGATTATATCCACCTTTCACAATCTTGGGACTGTTTACACATTTCTTTTTTTTTTTGGGGATCTCAATTGCAATGTACTTTGGTAGATGATAATTAAAATAAACACCAAAAAACATCAATTTAAAAATCACAATGATGTTGAATTTTTTTCCAAAACATTTACAATGCATTAGAATGAATTATGTAATTGCAAATTTGAATTATTTTATTCATTTCTAGAATCAAATAAAGCTGAAATAGCTAAGAAGAACAGAGAGGAACGACGACAACAGCGCGAGAAAGAAATCAGAGAAAAGAGGGCGGCAAAAAAAGGGATGGGTGCAATGAGACTCGGGGCTAAAAAAGACTGACATACTCATGTTTTGGCGATATAAATACTTAATAACATTCCATAATGTGAATGAATTCGGGTAAAGTGTTGCCTGCCCCTCCCCCTTTCAGGTAAAACATTATTAGAAATAATGTTTTGTAACTTGAATATAGGGTATAGGAGTATGCTCCCCTGTAGTAACTTCGGTTAACTCCTTTTAAGTACTGTAACATATTCTGAGAATTAGTTCCGAATATGGTAATTTACTTTAGTGAACTGAACAAATGTTTTGTAACTTGAAAATGGTGTATATAATTATGCTAGACTGTAAAGGCAGTTAATAATTGCATCCCAATTATCAGTACAGTACAAATGTTCTGTGACTTGAATAGTTCAGGTCAGGTACATTATATGCACTTTATCAGGGAGTCAGGCAATGATAAGTAATTTACATATTATTACTACCCCGGTCATTGGATGAAACACATATGGAACACATTGAAACACCAAATTAAATTAGTAAATGAAATTATATTATTATTCCATAAATTGCAGCTAGTAATCAGCGCAGGTTGTGTTGGAACCTACCAGGTACCCACTTGTACTCCTGGGTTGAGAGAGGCAACCGTAGATAAAGTGCCTTGCCCAAAGACACAAGCGATTTGCACAGCCAGAGTTTCGAACCCCCGACCTCAAGGTTGGTAGTCCAAGACACAACCGGTGCGCCAACCGCTCCTACCTACCTGTATATTAACCAAGATTTGAAAACTTTCAGATAAATAAATAGAATCATGTCATTGTCCTAATTACTAAATATTACAAAGCTGATAACATTCATCCAATGCTGAGGATTGAATGAGAATTAATGGTTACAACAGATAGTGTCCACTGTTTTTGTTAAGCTTTAGGAGTCGTTCACAGTTATCAACATTTTCGCAAGTGTACAAACAGTACTCTTTTTCAGTACCACTCTCTCGCCTCTGAAAGTGTACAAAAAAATGTTGATTTTGCAAAACCATTCTCCATTTTGTCAAGTCAACTATTAAGCAACGTACTTGGTTGCTTAAAATGAATATTATATCCATGGTTACATTTTAGCATTATTTTACATATTGCATTTTATTTTTAATCAGCATTTTTATGCATATGTAAGAGTGTACAAATTTGTCTACCAACACCTCTTTAGCGTACTGTTTGTATTTGTGAAAATGTTAAACGACACCTTAGTAGATTATTAGTTTAAAACCCCATCCCCTTTAGCGTACTGTTTGTACTTGTGAAAATGTTAAACGACACCTTAGTAGATTATTAGTTTAAAACCTCCTCCCCTTTAGCGTACTGTTTGTACTTGTGAAAATGTTAAATGACACCTTAGTAGATTATTAGTTTAAAACCCCCTCCCCTTTAGCGTACTGTTTGTACACTTGTGAAAATGCTGAATGACACCTTAGTGGATTATTAGTTTAAAACCCCCTCCCCTTTAGCGTACTGTTTGTACACTTGTGAAAATGCTGAATGACACCTTAGTGGATTATTGGTTTAAAAAGTAACAGCGTACACAGGGGCGGATTTAGGGGGGGGGCCGGCCCAGCCCCGGCCCCCCCTTTTGGGAGGTAAAAAAAGAAAAAAAAAGAAAAAAAAGAGAGAAAAAGAAAAAAATGATGGCCAAGAATGCCTCAAATGTTATGTTCGGGCGTCTAGAACACAAAAATTTCGCGGGGGCATTCCCCCGGACCCCCGGGGGCATGTGTTGTCTCAATCGGCCCAACTTTTGGCCCCTCTTCCGGCCCCCCCCCCCTTTTGGACATTTCAGGATCTGCCCCTGATACACACACATGCTTCTTGGCAAAGCATGCATGTTTGTGGGGAAAAGCACATATTGCTCGCCACCTGTTCTGATTGATTAGTTTTGAGTTGATATGTACCTTTTAAAAACGTCTATCACCAGTCTCAATGTTGATATTAAAATACAGTACAGTACATGATTAATAGGAATAAGCATAACAAGTCTCCATTTATTCATTCGAAGGTAATCTAACAGACCATTATTATTCAGCTTTATTTGTTTAAAAAATAACATTCATAGGAAACATACAAAAAATTACAAAGTCACCAATCAAAAGTTGAACAACAATATAATATAAAATTTAATTGAAGAAGACTAATGGTATCAAAACATAAGTACAATTAAAAGTACGAATTATAAAGGTGTAATTATAATTTTAAATTTATTATTCTCTTAAATTTTCCTGTAGTCTGTCCATTATATTCCTATAAAAAGTATTTATTGAGATTTTAATGGAATTTATGTTGAGATGTCTTTTATTATCAGTTAGCAGATTGCTCAATGGTAAACCAGAGCAGTTGAAAATAGAAAGCGAGGTTCAACAGTAGATATATTTACACATTTCATTTCTATTTAGTTTCATACTAGACACGCTCTTCAGATAAAATTGTATAAATATATTTTTTTGCAGTAATACATACAATATTATATACATATATATATATATGTATGTATATATATATATATATATATATATTATGATGAGGCTGCATCTGCAAAAATATGAACAACAGGATTGATACGGAATATTATGTATAATTAATACTTTATACTAAATGCTAATTAATATTTTATTAATATTTAATTTTCTAATTATTTGATTTATTGATATTTTAATTAATATTAATTAGTGTAAGAACATATGATCGTATGTCAATGTTTTAATGATACATACAGTAGTTAGAAAATGCATCTTTTGCGCTGTCCAGTTGTCATTTTTGTAGTTACGTCATAACATTGTGTAAGTAAACTGGTTAAGTGGTTGTTTAAAAATAAGCATACCATTATTGTTAGTAAAATAAAAAAATTTTAAAATTCCAACCTATTCTATAATTATTTTTCTACCTTAAAGAAGCAACTTCGCGATAATATTAACATTAAAAAAAATACAACAATAAAAACAAGCATGTCTACTTCAAGCAATAAAGTATTTAATATACGTTTTATGTTAAATGTTTACCATGGAAACTGTCATGGTAAATAATGGACTCAAAGTTAATTATGAAAATAAAAGATTAAAAATTATTATGTTGGTCTTTTATTATTGTACTAATTCAAAGACTAAGGACTTTTGTCCTTGAAATGGGTAATAAAAAGGGGGTGTCTATAAAACGAAGACCGAAGACCCAAAAACGAATACCCCTATTCTTTCTCTTTCATTTTGATGATAATAATCCAAGCTGTCACAAAATCAAAATTACGAATTTTTTTGGGCGTCTGTTGGTGAAATTTTCAAGGGTCTTCTTTTATAGACACCCTATAGGCCTGGGTGTCTAAAAAAAGAAGACCGAAGACCCGAAAAACGAAGATCTCCAATTATTTCTCTATTATCTTATTGAAAGTATTTCAAAATCATCATAAGACAGTAGCCAAGTACCTATTTCATTATTTCATCACGATTGAGAAAAAAAAAATGTGGGTCTTCGTTTTTCGGGAAATAGGTACTTGGCAACTTTTTTTATGATGATTTTGAAATACTTTCAATAAGATAATTGAGAAATAATTGGAGGTCTTCGTTTTTCGGGTCTTCGGTCTTCGTTTTGTAGACACCCATATAGTGGTGCTGGGCCGGATGCAGGATTTGGCGGTAGGGGGTGCGTGAGGGTTCACCTCACTGCGCCCACCATGGGTGGGGCTGAGGGAATAGAAAATTTTGAGAATAGGGACCTGTTAGGCGTGGATCCAGACTTTTAGGTTTTAACTCGGTTTCCATAGAATCGCTTACCCTATCGGTGACAGTTGTGTTTCACAGACGAATCGGGGTGCCTTCCCGATTGCGCAGGGCAGCTAGCAATGCACCCTGATTCGTCTGCTTCTGCAATCGGAAATCAATCGAAATCGGATGTCAATGTTTTGATGATGCATACAGTAGTTAAAAAATACATGGGGATTACCTGTTCTTTTGCGCTGTCCAGTTGTTTTTTTAGTTACGTCATAATATTGTGTACATAAACTGGTTAAGTGGTTGTTTAAAAATAAGCATACTATTATTGTTTAGTAAAATAAATAACAAAAATTCCAACCTATTCTGTAATTATTTTTCTACCTTAAAGAAGTAACTTCGCGATGATATTAACATGTAAGAAAAAAAAAAAAAAAAAAAAAAAGCATGTCTACTTTAAGCAATAAAGTATTTAATGTACGTTTTATGTTAAAAGTTTACCATGGAAACTGTCATGGTAAATAATGGGATCGAAGTTAATTATGAAAATAAAAAAATTTAAAATTATTATGTTGGTCTTTTATTATTGCATTGTACTAATTCACAGACTAAGGACCTTTCTCCTTGAAATGGGTAATAAAAAGGTACTGTATACTACACAATGCTAAGTCTAAAGATGATGCCGACCTTTAAAGTATGCACATTGTACGTTTGTTTTTCTGTTTATTCTGGTTGTGAAGGAATGAACAGCAGCATTGGCAACAAAGCCAAGGACGCTTTCATATGTAATTAGGGACTTCCCCTAAATTGTACGCAGTCGACACCTAATCATGGACCTTATTAATAGGTCCATGACCTAATGCTCTAGGCTAATGGAGTCCAATTCCATTTTGGTATGACAACGCTAAGCTGATTATCGTACTAATAGTTGAATTCAACACATGAATATGTGGATATTCGTAGTGCAAACGGCTTACAGTTTATAAAATACAATGTAGATCCATTATTTTTCCATTTCGTTACACTGTAACGGCCAAGGGCGTCGATGAAAAATAAAACCTTGGGCCATAGGCCCAAGCAATGGTTGGGAGCCAGGGGGCGAAGCCCCTGAAGCTCTGGCGCATAAAGCCTTTTAATTGATCTTAAGCAGTGCAATTAACATTTATTTCCATACGAAATTTTCAAAATATCCAGTGGCGGATCCAGTAATTTGAGGCCCAGAGAGAAAATTTATGATTATGGCACCTCCAGTTGGTCGGAAATGGCACTCTCTGACTGAATTAGAATATAATTTTAATTTTCCTCCACTTTTAAATTTCGGGAAAAAAATAGTGATGGTGGGCCGGCTGGCCCCCTTGAATCTGCCACTGTAATACTCATCATAAAAAGTTTTTAAAATTATCCTTTTTAGTCATAATTATGTCCGCTTATATATTTCGTGCAAACTAACATTCATAAAAATAATGATTTATTATCTACTGATTAGCTTGTAACGTACTCAAAATTCGAACTATGAAAAACAAGTAGGCCTAAGATAAACTTAAAACAGTCATTAATTTAGTCTTTTTGCATGTACAGTACTTTTAAAATCAATCAAGAGGATTTTTTTCTTTTCTCCTCTTTTTGAAGTTCACTTTTGTGTAAGTAATATTGCGATAAATTTATTGTGAGTGGAAATACTACCGTCTAATTTACGATCAAACAGGACTAGGGAGGTAGGGAGCACACAAAACATTAGTTAGCATTTTGATTTCACAAACATAAAGGTGACTTTACATTTAGCATATTTATATATCTATTTACGCAATAAATGTTCAGAAACGTGTAATCTTCTTTCATAGGCAACAGCAATACGTAGAATACTTGTATTGTGTTGATGAATGTAAATATATATACAAAATGAATGAATTAAAAAAAAATTTGTGTAAAAAAGAATAAAAAAAAAAAAAAAAAAAAAAAAAAAAAAAAAAATTATACTGGAAATTCGAATAATGTATCGAATGGGCAACGATGATTTGCCTAGTGGAGTTTACTCCATAAGAAAAACAATAGTAATAGATGAAACCTTGTATGAGATAATATTGTACTCAAATTGTAGAAGTTGGTGCATATACGCACTATTTAAAACCATTAAAAAAAATTTAAAACATTAAAAAATAGGCCTAGGCCAATATAAATTTTAAAAAAAAGGATAAAAATAATTATTATTATAATTAATATTATTACACAATTATCATCATGCTCTTCTATCGAGAACGGTAAAATATAATACCGTATAATTATCAATATAATACGCCTCTTTCTATTTTCGTTCCTCTTCAATACCGGGAGCCATCCCGCCATTATCTACCAGATTATTGCGTCGTGTTAAAGAATGTATATTTTGTGTGTGTGCTGTCTCTTATACACATCTAGATGTGTATAAGAGACAGATTATATACAGATACTAAATGAAAGTTCCATTGTACAAGTATATTTATTCAGTTTGTTTTCAACGTAGTACTATCGGATTGTTTTGAAAGCTTAATGCAGTCACTATAACAATATTCGAATTTCACAAATTTCGACTTCTGGATGAATTCAAAATTTACATAAAATATTTTTTTTTAAATAGGGCCTACAAAAAAAAACCAGATTAAAACAAGATTAAATTAAACTAGACTTATCTACTATGTGTGGTTTGTAAACTAGACCTATCCTACTATGTGTGTTTTGTAAAAAAAATTTAAAAAAAGAAGGAACAGGGCTTTACCTCATTGCCATAATGAGAAGTGATTTTGAAATTACAAAAAAATTAAAAATTACTCAATTAAAAGTCTAGCGTAAAATAACACACGAAGAGCAAAAATTAGATCATACAGAAAATTATTTGACACACATAAAAACTAACTTGACGTCAGGAAAACTCGAACTATGACTGCTATTATGTTATTATTATGTAGAATGACGTTTAAATATCCTCATTTCCCCACACATCGTCACCAAAATTTAGTAGGGCCTAATTGCTTACTTGGTTGAACTTTCCAAGAAAGTTTCATTCAGATCAGTTGATTGTTAGTATTATCTGGTCCAGGTTTTTCATTGATTTAGGGTCGACTCGGCCCCACTTGAATCTGCCACTGATTATTATGGCGTCATTGCGAGACTGCGTCAACGTAACACTGGAGTTTGTAAACTTTTGGTAGGCTTTCACTTAATTACGGCGCCGCGAGCACCCCTACTAGGGATGGATACGTGCGCCTAACAAAATGACATTATTATTATNNTTATTATTATTATTATTATTATTATTATTATTATTATTATTATTATTATTATTATTATTATTATTATTATTATTATTATTAATCGAAATAGGTAGACATCATATCCGTGTTAAAGGATGAAAAAAACAGTAGATAATATTAAACACTAGTATATACGTACGGGTCATAATAATAATACCGTATACAAAAAGAATAAATCGTTTATAGTAGAAATTGTGCACTTTTGAGTTTGTAAAAATATTGGCCTAATAAGGATACATGCTTCCAATTTTAACAACGTTCAGTACATTGTTTTCACAATAAATTTAGCCTATGATAGTCGTTGTACCCATAAAATCGATCTAGTGGGGTTTCTGAGATAGTTACGAAATGTTTGAACAATTGCGTTTTCACTCGGTTTTGGTCCGGAAAATACGTACCACACTTAGAAAAGTGAACAAACATTCATGAGTCATGCGTAATTGTTATTCTTTCCATTCGCTTTTAAAGGTGGGGTTTTAATTATAGAAGATTGGTGAAAAGTGTGGGGGGGGGGGAACCAATCGATATGATGTTCTCCCCCCCCCCCACTTTGAAAAGTCCCCTGTCTCCCACCGATCGACGCCCATGGTGGTCCCGATATTGCTAAGAGTTGACAAGTTACTGAATAGTGGTTGTGGAATATCAAGTGTCTTTACTCCTGTCAAAAATTTGAACCTAAATTTTAGTACAATTTTACCGTGTGACAAGCTTCATCCCGGCTGGGCCCCTTTGCATCCCCCACTGATACTTGCAAGAATTTAGCGTTTAACAGCAGTATACAGGAACTGATGCATAGTAACTTCATTGCGATCCAGAATATTTTATTTCCTTGTTTCCACATTCCAATTGTTGCTGGTTACTCGGGTGTATGATATACCCTAGTGATTCGTTCTCTGCGACTCATATTTCAACGGTGTACCATGTACGAATACAACGCAATACAGAACAGTACACTAAATCATTGCACTGGCTCAGTGCCTGAGTGTGTAATTTTCTGATTAGAATTTTCAATATATTCGTGCGCGTTGTTGTCTGTATCAAAGGCCCATAATATATTAGTTTATTAACATTTCTGAAACATTGTAGAGCGTTTCTTGCTTATACCAGTGAGTTGTTCTCTAATAACAACTCCCTGCTTATACACTTCTGATACTACTCCATCTTCCGCATCAACATGTACAGGAAAATACCGAGGGTATCGCGTGTCATCGTTACCACCGCCTGCTTGTGCTATTTCCGTCTGAGCCTATGGAATATATCATTGGTTGTTGCTGGTAAGATCTGAGGCATATTCTTCTTTCAGGCCCGTAGCCAGGTTCATCCAAGGTGGGTGCGGGAGGGGGGTTGGTGGGTTCTGGGCGTGAGATCCACAGTCGAAGCCCCACAGCAAGAGGATTTTTGTGCTTTATGGGTCTAAATAATGCTATAAAATCAGATGTGTTTGAAAATGTCTGTCTGGGTGGGTCTGCAGTGCATTAGTTGGGTTAGAGGACTTATTTTGGAAATTTAAAGAGGGGGGGTTTGCTAGAAAAGGGGGTTCTCCCGAACCATAACACCCCCCCCCCCCTGGATACGGGCCTGTCTTTGATCTTTTCCAATCACAGATTTTATATACAGTACCTGTATTGAGATTAAATTGAAAGGTACAACTGCCAGGTAGTCTGCACTTGGGCACTATGGGAGGATATAATTTATGCGTAACCTTGGTAACTGTTTAAGATAATAGGTTGTACCTATGAGGCGCCTAGTGTAAATTTATTATTTAAAACAATTGTATATTATATGTAATATTTCATTATTTAACATATATCACTAATCATTTACATATACTGCATTTTACATACAATTTAAGTACTGTAAAACAATATACTCTTAGTCAGGGCAGCTCATTTAAAAGAATCAGACAAGTAGGCCTATAATGAATAGTTTTCGCTATGTGTTTCGTATACTAATGATCATGTATATTATACTCTTTCGTCCATTTTACAGAATAATGCTTTAGTGATGCCATGCAAAGAAAGCATTCGATAGTGTAAATCCGAATCGTGATAGTCTATGGTCTATGGTACAATTAGGCCTAAAGCTGATTTTCCATTAGGCGAATCTATTCGCGCGACTCTAAAGCGTCGGTTCATACGTATGCGCATTTACATCTATCGGGTTTTTCAATCAATCAGAGCTCAGAAAGCGTACCGAATATTAGATTCGTGCGAATAAATTCGTCTAGTGGAAAACAGGCTTAAAGCAGGTCTATTAATTCATTGATTCATGGGAATTTTTACAAATAAAAAGTTTTATACGATGATGAAGGGTGCTGTAAACTGCGGTGGCGCCAGAAAATTGTCCGACAAGGGGTCAGAGCCAAGGGGCCGATGAAGCCTCGATCGAGGCCCGGAATAAAATTCCCTTTAAGTTTCACGGACAGAATTGTTATGGTTAAAGCCGGTTTTCCACTAGGCGAATTTATTCGCGCTAATCGACGGCGTCGTTCATGCGCATTCACATATCTATAGGACTTTCCGCTTCAACGAAGTCGGTACCGAACTGTTTATAAATAAATAAATAAATAAATAAAATAAATAAATAAGTTCGCCTGGGTAAGACTATTTTCCACTAAAAGAATTTATTCGCGCGAATCAAACTTCGGTACGATTTCTGAGGTCTGATTGGTTGCGCTGCCTTATGTGCTTATCAGCATGAAGAGGATTAACTGATTGGTTGCACATTTTTTCGCTTCGCAAAAACTCGATAGAAATGTGAATGTGCATGCGTATGAACCGATGCTTTCGATTCGCGCGAATAAATTCGCCTAGTGGAAAACCGGCTTTATATGGTTCAAAATGTGTTTTTTACCTATCAAAATAACGTTATTTGGATAGGAAAATCATTATTTTTTTAAATTTTTGATTCGACGACCTAGTTGTGCGTCGGACGACAGGGTGTCCATGCCCCAGGCCAGTCCGACGGTGGGGGACCCCTTCCCCGCTGACGCCACCACTGGCTGTAAATAATCAAATATGTTTCTTGGTTTGGCATAGAATTAATGATTATGCAAAGGTACACCTACCTGCAGTATAATCGTGATTATACAAGTCCTCTTGAGGTTCGAAACCGAGGGAGGACGCAGTATAAATCGGTGTAGAACATGGTTGCTTCCCATTACCTTTTTAATGATTATGCAAAGGTACTGATGGCGAACAAAAGATAATTACTGTATATTAAAAATTAAGTCTGAGAGTGCCATTTCCCGCCATATGATCTAGAGGTGCAAAAAGCATGTTTTTTTGGTTTTTTTTCTTACCACAGCCCTTACCATGGTGGGGCTGTTCTTGGACCCTTTGTCTTTAAAGGTTCCTTCTCGCCCCCTCTGTTTCGAATTCCTGGATCCACCATTGGATGGCACGAAGTTTAGCTATTCTTAAATGTACGTGTCAAGAAAATTATATTAAAATAAGTTTGAGAGTGCCATTTCCGTCCATCTAGAGGTGCCAAAATCATAATTTTCTCTTACCCCAGCCCCAACCTTAGTGGGACTGGGGTCCTTGGCTCGCTATCTCTGAAAGTCCCTCCCTGGGGTCCCTCAATTTCGAATTTCTGGAACCGCTCCTGATTGTCACGAACTTTCTAACTGGTAAATGTACATTGTACTTCGACGATAATACAGTAATAGACTAGTTAGGATAGATAAACGGCAGCCAGTGTCAATAACAGTCACATAGCCTCTCTTTGTCTGTAAGTCTGAAATCCCATGTTCGATAATATATTATTTCTAGTTTTAAATGCTTCATATGTTACATCGTAAATTTTTACACTTCCAAAATAGTTTTCGAAATTTTAGAGTGTTATTTCCGAGCTTCTAGAAGTGCTAAATCCTAAACAATTCTGAACCTCAGTCACCAATTCCCAGATGTGGTAATATTTGATTTATAAAAATTGATATGCTTCATATGTTTAAGTATTTTGCATTGTCAAATTATGATACTTCGAAAATCATTTTTGAAGTTTGAGAGTGCTATTTCCGATCGTAAAAAAGTTCTGAATTCTAAAAAAAATCGCAACCTCATCCCCAACCATGGTAGGGCTGAGGGTTAGTGTGGACTCTTCTGCCTGACCAATACTTAACTGCTTCCGCCGCCCCTGCACGGTGAGCTAGAGGCGATGCTTTCGCTGAGCAACAAAGTATTGAAAGATAACGTAAATATTGAGGTATTTTATTGCAAAAAAAGACAAATTAATATATAAGTGCGCCTATGCAATTTTCATTTTAAACCAGGAGAGCATGTGAAAAAACGTGAGAAAAAAATGGCCGGGAGTCAGGTCACCAAAACGGGAGTCTTCCGGCCAAAACTGGATTGTTGGTATGTATGTATGCGCTCATTAACGTAGTTGGCTGATTGACACATTGTAGAAACGTTTTTAAAAGCTTGCATCCGTGTTGACATAGAAGTAGGGAAAGAAAATAGGAAATTATTGCTCTTTTGACGGTACTGTTCTACTCGGAGTGCGCTATAGTGATTCTCTTCTACGACCATTTCGTCTACTTTTATTTAAAATTCTATTTTGCGGTTGTTGATATAACAGGCCTATTTTAATTTTTTTTCATTAAATTATTCTTAACTTAGTTTAAACATTTAGGAATAAGTTTTGTACTTATTCATCCATGGTTTAACTATCATTATTCACATTATTAACTTGCCGTTATATTATACATTATGCGGATTATAATTGTTAATACACTGAATGCAATTTCTTATATTTTAACATCCTCTTTATGTTGTGACAATGACAACTGGTTTTAAAAGGAAAATCATGATGCATTCTTTTCTTAAAGTTACAGAATTGTTGCAATACCCTAATATTGTTGTGTAGTACAATAAAAAGTAGAATTTGGAATTCAACTAAAAAAAATATTTTAAACCAAGGAACAAGGTGTTACAAGACCAACAGATTTCAGTGCTTACGAAGTACGCAGCCGCATTCATCATCCTGGATGACTTCGTCTTCAGTCCTTGGTGTAAGATAATTTTAGACAGGAGAGAGTTTACTGGTTGACAGCGAAGCCAACCCCTTTTGGAAATGAAAAAAAAAATGGGTAGCGGAGACAAAATTAAGTCTGAGCCGTAGTCATAAATTTTGTGCTCAGCCAAAGGTGGTGGATCTCTCCCCCCCCCCCCCACCCCGCAAAAAAAAAATCATGGTCCCCCTCTATATTCCAATCTGCGAGTAATGGAATAATGTGATTTGACTTGGTTTAGAAACAGAGCAAAATAAAATACAAATAATAGTATAAGGATGTATGTAGAGAAATGAAACTGCGAGAAATATTGAGAATTTTTCCGCAATTAAGGTATGTCTCAGCATGGAGGTATAAAATAGAATAAAATTTTATACCTCCATGGTCTCAGCAACGTGTAACCTTGCCAAATTTATGGTCACCATGCCAAAGCAAGTTTCTGACAATGAATAAAAAACTTCCAAGGTTTTGATGGTGTTTTGCATTTCCCAGCGGCATTTCACTCCATTGGAATATCACGTGTATTTGTTCCGGCGGGGGATAGTTTCTACTATACCATTTTTAATTGTACAGTATTTGTCCTACCTTGTAATCCCGACTCAGAAATACCGGGTTGTTGTCCGACGGGGGATAGTTTTTACCATAATGTAGTTAAGTTGTAGTTAAGCTTAATCTTGAGCCGTAATTCCTGGCCCCGAAACCTTGACTCAGAAGTACAGTACCGGGTTGGTGTCCGGCGCGGGATAGTTTTCCACCATTAATACTATTGTTTATTTTATTGTACTGTGCTGGTTATATTTTGTTGTTGTTATTGTACTGTGCTTTTGCAGGACCACATTGTAAAACAGCGGTAAGATCTCTCCTGTATATGTTATCCTGCCTAAAGATGTTTTAAATAAATTTGGTTATGAAAAGAAATACCGTAGCATTTCTCGGACTTTCCAAGCACGTACAACCCATCGCAAAATTTTATCAAGGCACGACATGGAGTATAGGCCTACTGGATAACTTTAATTTTCACGAACAGGCAGAGAATATTCACACTAATGACGATTAAATTTGAACATTTGAATCATTCAATGATTTGAAATCATAAAATGTAAAAAAAATCGATATATATCGATAGCTTTATTTACGGCCTTGTGCAGTAGTCCACTTCAAACGCGTTTAATTTTGTTTATAAGAGAATTCGAGGCAACTTTGCTCAATTCCCTTTGTATTTAGGATAGATGTGAATGCAAAGCCGAACTATGCCAAAATGAAAGTGTTTTAATAGTTGCCTTTGATTTTCTATTTTCATTGAACACATGAAAATTAATAACCACTCCATTAATAAACATATTAAAATAATATTAACAATAACAATATAAAAATGCATAATATATGATAATTATATTTGACAATACTAATTTGGTTTTAAACACACCATTATTTTAGTTCAACAATTTACAGTAGGCCTATGCGAAAGTTACTGAAAACGAATTTTCTCTGATTCGTGACCCGTTCTACCCGTGAATAGACAGTATACAAATAAAGCAGCAAATTGTTTCCTTATGACGTTTCCCTTATTATGGCAAGCCCCAGCTGTCTTAAGCGTTCAAAAACTATTATTTTATCTACCTTTGGTATTATATTAAGTTAACGTTTATTATCATATTACGTACATTTATTTATAATATATTATATATATGTTTATTAAGAACTAGGCGTCACAAGACAGATTTCAGTGCCCACAAAGTACGCGGCCAGTGAATACACGAAGTCATTTCGTCTATTGTTTTTGTTCGTGTGTTTTGTTTATTTTTTATTTATTTATTTATTTTTTTAATTATTTTTATTTATTTATTTATTTATTGTGTGGCCGGGATGGCCAGGAGCAGCTCCAGTGGGGCATGTTTCTTCTATATAAATAGGAATACAGTAGCTATTGTATCGATATTTTAAAATGCTTGGTGTATATATATTTAATATGCAAATTAGGTTAGGTGCCTAGCACTAACATATTATAAACAAATATTGTAGATAAATACAATTATAAAACAGTGCTCAAACATGTGATGTATACTGTACCCAATCAAGCATCCAAATTTTTGATAGAGAGTTTGACGTTTCACTTGGTTTCACTAGATAGCGCCCTCTCTCACCTTGAAAAAGTCGGTGCGGTGGTGGGGAATTTAATTTCTATATTCTTTGGTTTACTCAAAGTTATATACTCTTTGGTTTTCTGTAGTCAGGTATATAGTGCATACTGCGAAATCATCAAAACTGTAAGTCGCGGATAAATTATCATTTGAAGTTCATAGATGGTTGTCCATGTATACCCTCCTAGCCAGGCTTAGGTAGCCTAGGCTAGACCTAGGCCACTGTAGGCCTAGGTATCGCGGCCGAACCGGACGTCATTTCGCTAGATAGGCAAGCTAGGCCAAATAGAAAATACATAATGTATAGCGTCATCAGTGTTAGTTTCCTTATTGGATCGCGCATACGTAATTCTATTGTTTATTTCTCTGATGATAGCTAGAATAGGAACGATAAATTTTCGATGACTCTAGGCCTAGGCCTGATAAGCTATAGAACTGCGAAAGTTTCGAGTATTTCGATAAATTTTGGGTTTAATAAAATAAAGCTTGAGATTAGTGGAAAAGCATGAGATTTTAGGTGAGTGGCTTGAGAGCTTGAGGTTGGTCGAAAAGCGTGAGGCTCACGCTGGATGCTTGAGACTTAGTAGACCTCTTTCTTATCAATTGTCTCACGGAAGTCAATGTCAGCGAGCATCACCATGCTCAGCAAAGCGAAATGTGCTAAGAAAGCTCATTTAACCAGATTTTCCGAAAGTGAATTCCAACATGGGACCCCTAAATATGTGGTAATATTACATGCAGATATTAACTAACTAATAGTATCTCAGTGTTTCACAAGCATTTCATTGAGTCTTGTGATGATTTTCAATATTTTAAAACTTCTTTACTTGCCTAACACGATCACAGACAATTTCCTTGTTAATTACAAATTCCTAATATGATTGATAGGGGCTCAGCAGCTGTATTATGCACCTTATAAATCCATTGATTGATTGATTGACCCATGGAAGTATTTTTTACCTCCATGATTGACCAAGCTGGTGACATCTCTTTAAGGAAGCCCTTTGCTATGCATTGCCTTAAACCTAAATTAATCTGTAATCTCAAAGCATCAAGAGAGTTAAGGTTGTTTATTTATGTAACCCAACTTAATTGACTCTCTCATAATCTCCATTGTTGTACAACTTTGTTAATCTCCTTATTTGCATATTGTAGCACTTTTTGTTAATCACTGTCGATGTTTTCTCATTCCCGAAGATGACCAAAGGTCGAAACTTTGAATCATGGCCTCCCTCTCATTATTTGGAATAATGTTTGTTCTATAGTCAGTGCATCTGTTGGACATAAGTTGTAGTATTGAGAGATAGCCTGCTGTAGGTCCCTGGTCGTCAACCTCTGACCCTCGGGCCAACACTGGCCCACCAACAAATATTTTAATCTACCCTGCAACATTAAAAAAATAAATCATTTTCGTGTCAATTTGCAATACTTACAGAAAAAGATTTTAAACACAACCACCTACATGGCATTGTTAACACTAACAGCTAGAGTCTAGCTTTTTCTCAGTGTAGATCACTACAGGTATATCTAGAAGCATAGAGTATTGACATGGGGAGGGGGAGACTGATGGGGGATAAACAATTAAGTAGAGGTAACTGATGCAATGTCTAACCATTGGCGGTGCCAATAGCTGATCTGTGAAGCAGGCTTGGGGGCATGTCATTTTGTTGAAAACCCACTACTTCAAAAGCAGTCTGAAAGTGCCATTTCCGGAAATAAATGTGGGCTCTTTTTTGGGGTATCGGACTCCTTGTTCGTGAATTTCCGGTAGCTCATACAGTAACTTCCTTCGTCCCTAAGGGCCTCTTCGTGTCTGAGCTAGCTGCCTCGTAAACTGGTACCAGCTACTCTTGTCTATCCACAACAGGGGCTGTATGGACCAATACACCGGGGTAACCCCTTACTTGTCTGGAAAGATATTCTGGGATCTTTATAGTGCACATGAGCCAATTGTGTACACGGGGCCTACAGTTTATAGTTCTATATCCATATAGCAGCGCCGATATTATGGCTGTAGGTTGCGACGCCCCTGCCTTAACCTCTCTGCCATTCGACTCGCCTAAACTGGGATAAAGTTTTTTTATCCCCTCCTTCCCCATGCTACTGCATTCCCTCATATTTTCAATTAAGGCCTACCATACTGTAGTTGAGTATGGAAAAGCAAGAAAAGAGAAAAAAGGGAGAGAAGACAAGAAAAGGAAGAAAGAAGGGTGCACATTACTCCAAAGCAAGATACCTTTCATTGCAAATGCTACCAGTGTCTATGGTCAAGCATTTCTAAACAAAATCTCACCATCCCTTTTCCCGGCTTGGTTTGCACATGGCCACTACCCATACTTTTCTATGGATCTATCCCTGGAATGCCCAACTAGCCAGTTATATGATTCATTGGTTCACATGGCAAATATCCAATCTAAAACAGATGTTTCTGTGACACCGCGTGAGAATTTCAATTTCAGCTATTTTTAATCTGTGTATGATAAATTACAACCCTAGTCAAGGATGATAATAAATATTTAAAAGAAAAACACATGATACTGATAATAACTTTGGTATGGAGACTGGTGGTAATTAAAGATGATAATAAATATGAGAAAAACTTATTTTCCCATCAAGATTCAAACCTAAGTCCTTTCGATTACTGTTCGGATACTCTACCACCAACCCTACAATAGTCAATAACACCCTGTAGCTTATCACTATGAAATGCTACTGTTGGGATGAGAGACCATCTACATAATGTACTTCCACTGACAATTGCTACTGTTTATGTTTTTTAGATATCTCAAAGCCAATATCATGTTCATTTGAAAGTGAAGATAACCCATTATGTCAATGGCAACAGGCTTCCAATGACATCTTTGATTGGACACTTCATAGTGGCCTAACACAATCCGCAAATACTGGACCGCAATTTGGAGATCAAACTACGCAGTCCTCATCTGGTCATTACCTGTATACCGAGGTATCATCAAGAGACGATGGGGCAAATGCACGTATCATCAGTCCTCTTATTGACCCCTTTGACAATTCATGCGCTGTAAGTATTTTATTATCATTATTAGTATTATTAATATTATTATTATTATAAGCAATTAGTAGAGCTGCGCATAGTACACTAGCGGAAAATTATTATAATAAGGTTACATTTAATACTTGAACAAATTTCCTGAGGTTCTGCAAGGCCCGAAGGAAATTTTTTGAATGCTTTAAGTATATGATAATTTGAATGCTTTAAGTATATGATAATTTTCCCCTAGTGTATGATGTATGCAGCTATACTAATAGCTTTACAAGTCAATCGCGGTCTTTTAATGTTTTGATAATCAACTGCTGTAGTAGTCAGTGGTTGCTATAGTGATATGATCAGTCTGTGTACGTATTACATTTAGCTGTGTGTATGCTGATATGCTCCTGCAGTATGCGCTAACACACAGCTACTGTAGCGACATTACAAATCAGCGGATACAATGAATAACTACTACAAGGCTATATATTGTGTTTGAAGAACTGGTAATGCTATTTTGATAGACATTTGTTAAAAATAAATAATTCTTGAAGTGTTTGAGAGAATACAGTAATCACCTTTTGGTTGGTGCAGACAGGTAAAATCGTGTGATGATTTCATATCTGGACTACGATCCCTAGGCCTCGGCAGCCTCCTGCCTACACCTTATAATTTCGTTCCTTGAGTATTTAGGTCTAGAGTATTCTTATTAAATATTCAGTTTCTGTAGTTTATTAGGGTTCATTGACTCAAGGAATTTCCTTATTTCTTCATACTTAACATTGAATTTAAAGAGTTAGATTAGAACCCGAAGAAAGTTTTACTTCAAATGCAATATTAAGTATGAACAATTATTGAATCGATGGACCCTAACAAACAAAACAAGCTGAACATTTTATAGGAATATTCTAGACCTATTTTAAAAACTCAAGGAACGAAATTAAATTGCCAAGGCCTAGGCTATGCCTACTGTAAATCGTAGCCTAGGCTAGTTATGAAATCATGTCTGCGCAGCTGGCTAAAAAGTGATTAATGTATTTTCTCAAATGCTTTAAGAAATGTATATTCTTTGACGAATATCTACCAAAATAGTATTACAAACTAGTTCTTCTGTTCATTGTATCCGTACTGTGCTGCTGATGTGTAACGTCGCTAGCTGTGTAGATGACACGTACTGCAGGAGCACAAATCAGTATACGCACAGCTAAATGTAATATGCACACAGTAACTATACTGATCATATTACTATAGCAACTGATTACTGCATGGACTACATAACAGTAAAAACTAACATTAAAAGACAGCGATTGACATAAAGCAATTAGCCCACTAGTGAAACATTATTATGCACAGTAGGTTAGATTATTTAATGCATTCTTTAAAAATTTCCTTCGGGCCTTGTATCTAACCTTTGTATAATAATTTTCTGCTAGTACTAGTAGTATACTATGTGCAGCTCTACTAATTGCTTTTTATGGTTAAAAATATTATTGTTATTATTTTTGCTATTGCTGCTGCTGGATGTTGGCTGCTGCTTCTATTGATATCGAGTGGTATGTGTCTTCAGGCCCTAAACATCATAATAATAATAATAATAATAATAATAATAATAATAATAATAATAATAAATAATAATTGTAATTATAATTGTAATTACAGTAGACTTTGCCTCAAATCCAAAATGCAATTGAAATATTGTTCGACTTCGATAAAATTTGACTTGCAGATTGTTAATTAATGGAAAACACAACAATTTAGCTTGTAAAATCAAGGACTTTTAACTGTTACCAGGATACTGTAGGAAGCTGGCTGGTTTAAGTTGTCAAACTTGAATTAGCATTATGTGCGGTATTGTTATGCAAATGAGCCAGATAAGCACAATCTGCACATGCTCAGAAAAACAAAACTTATGATGTAAGTAGGCCTACCGTACAGTAATATCATTTTTTTTTTTATAGATGACATTTTACTACAATATGTATGGAACAGGTATAGGAACTTTACGTGTTTACAAAGTGCCATGGGAAGATGGAATTTATGGCGGAGAAAGTAAAGTATTTGAAAAGTCTGGGAACCAGGGAACTGCCTGGCATAAAGAAACAGTTATCTTTGGGATCACCTACAAATTCCAGGTAATTACTGTGACTTTAATTAAATGATCCAAAAGCATAAATATTGACTTTGGATTTCATGTACATTAACACTCAAAACATTAAATGTCATCTTAAAATAAGAAATATCCAAGCCGAAAGGACGAGCAGTAAGCCAGGGGCGCTGCAGCGTACAGCCATAATATCAACGCTGGTTCTGGTAGTGGAACAAGTTTTTTCAGTTAAGGACTATAAACATTAACTTGGCTCATTTTGCTTTTCAAAGAATCCATTACACCTTTCCAGACTCGTGGAGTTTACCCCGTTGTACTGGTCTATACAGCCACTGTTGTGGACAGACAAGATTAGCAGGGACGTATCCGGGGTGGGGGCTTCCCCCTCTCCCCCGTTCTTTGTAAACAGTGTTAAAATCTTAAGCCTGTTCTTGAGCCAATACAAATTCTTTCCTGGGATCACTCAAAATGAATACTTCTAAAATATATATATGTAAATATGCATCAGTACATGTTATACATAAAGGCCCAATGGTTTTTATCCTTTTGCAAGTTTCTTTAATAATGCTACTACTAATAGTAATAATAATGATGATGATGATGACGATAGTAATAATTGATAATAATATTAATAACATTATAAAGTGAAGGCAATTGTGCTAAATGCGAAAAAAAAGTTGGGATTTGTTGATCATATAGTATAGTTAAAACTTAGTAAGCTATAGTTAGGCCTAAGTTGTCCTGAATATTTAAAGTAGATCCCTGATAAAGGATCATGAGAAATTTGTTGGCATTTCATTTTGACTATAATGGTGATGTGATGATGATAATGAATTTACTATATAAAAGTGTCATTTCTGGCCATCTAGATGTACTATTTCCTCAAATTTTCTCACCTCAGCCCCAACCATCGGAGTCCTACGTAATTTGCATAACGGCTCCCTCCCTCCTTTCAAATTCAAGGCTAGGTCCCAGGCTTGTACTGACACGAAGAGACCCTTAGGGGAGAAGCAAGCCGTTGTACGAGCTTGTCCACACGTCAGGCGCTTTGAGACTTTGGTATAAAGCGCTATATAAATCCAACTACATTACATTAGTGGTAAACAATGAATTCTAAAGATACAAAAGTTTCACAGAATATTTGGTTTTTTTACCACAGAAAATCACTAGATTTTAAGTTTTGTGCTTAAAGATAGGTGGTGTTATCTCCGAAATGACTTGTTATTGAGACCTGAAATTTTCACAGGTAATTCAGAAAGTGTTTAATATACTCCCAAGTTATATTATCTCAAAATTGACAAAAATGGCACTTGTGTTGTTTTGCCTCGGGATGGCCGAACTGTTTGTTTATGTTTTTTTGATGGAGTATGATGCCTAATTTGTGACCCTTCCCTCTTCAATCTGAAGTGATGGTGACACATTAAATTGTTTCTACAAATTCAAATTCAAAGTAATCTTTATTGCAATTTGTAAGCAAATTGAAGTTTAGCAATTAAAATCGAAGGAAGATAAACATGAAAAATATCGCGTAAAAAATATAAAAATCGAACGGTTTAAATACATTAAAAATGCTTATAATTAATAAATTTTATATACATCAATTGGGTAAAGAATTGGTACAGCCTATAAAAATAGGGTTGCGGCTTAAAGGCTGTGGAATAATGCTGTGGTTAATATTAAGAGCACAAGGTTATTATTCATTCATTCATCTCTCTATAAGAGACTGGTGGCACCAGAGGAATAAGCCCCCTCTTCAGAGAGCCTTAAAAAGAAGGGACCTTCAGGCAATAAAAAGAAATTTTTAGTAGTAGTTTAGTTTAGGACCAGTATCTTCTGCATTGAGTTAAATGTTATAACTTCATCAAGGAGAACCTTGTGATGCATGCAATTCATTGTGATTGTGGAAGCACTCTTAACTTTGGCTTGTCTGGACATTACAACAATTATGAATCATTACAGTTGCTTGATGCCTATAAAATAACTAATAAAATTCACTGAAATTCATCAAATATCCACTGGGAGTACTTGCAGGCCTAAATCCTTGCTTTGCTCGCATATCTCCTCCCCCCTGGGGAGGAGATCCTGCCACCAACACTACTAAGAGATAAACGTTTTTGAAGAGATATAAAAGACTATTATTATTTTTAAGGTGATTATTGAAGGGGTACGAAACACTTCATCCTTTGGAGACATTGCAATTGATGACACTTCTTTTTCGAACTCGTGTGAAAAATTTTGTAAGTTTGACAATTTTTTTTATTGATTTTATTCACGGCCACATTATAGAAGCACATTGGTTATAGGCATTTGGCATCCTAAAAGAACCATCATTGTGCAGCTTTGCTGCATGGCCTTAAGTTTGACTTGTGCCATTGCGACATAAGTTTTTGGTCCGCGCAAGGCGCTGACCCAGAGCCTCACCGCTGTTCTTGTTTTTGTTCTTGTTACCAAAACTTTAAAAGTGTCCAACGTCGCCAGTTTTGAACGGACGTGCATGAATTTGTACACATAAACTAGGGATGATTTCCAATAAATGTTCATCACACTGTTTTTAAGTTGGACCCTAGGGTTCCCCCTACACCTACAACACAAAACAGGGGTTTCAGCAATTACTGTACATTACTGCCATTACAACGAATAGGGCATGTTGCATTTATGGCACCGTCGGCTATGAATGTGTTCTAAAGAATTTAAGGTTGTGAGCTTGAATCACGTCTTGGTATTCAAGTTTTATTTTTTTCAATTTTAAGATATTTTAATTTTGTACAAATGAACATTCTAAGTAATAATTATTTTGTACATATAAATATCATAATTATTAAAAAATGTTTATCTTATTACCTCTTCCAAAAAACCCAATAATATTGATAATAATAATAATAATGATAACTTGCATTTGTACTGCATTTAAACGTGCGGACCAGTAAGCGGTCGCTCTTGTCTATCACAGGCTTCATATTATTTGTGAAGATTTTGGACTGCTTTTTGGTATTGAGAAGAATGTTTGTGGAATTAAAAGTATGAAGCATTTTAAGGGGAGATGTGATTGGGAATTTTATGTTTTAGGTCTATTTTAATGATTTTCCATGATAATTAAGTTGTATGAAAGCATGTTCATCATTGGTCAGATTTCTATCACAATTGATAATTTCACCAACAATGGTCACTCATGCAAAAAAAAAGAGAATGTTTTAATCTAAATTTCTGACATCATTTTATTATTTTAAAAAATTATTAACTCCATGAGACATGCAAATATTTTTACCTGACAGAAGATTGGGAGGAAAAAACATACATAAATATCAACAGATTTGGCTGGCTGCAAAATTTTAATTTTTAAGAACTGTCTCCCCACCAAAATTCTTGTCTCCCAATTCAGAAAAAATAATAGTTTATACCCATATATTTATTTTTCTGTAGTAAAGATTAAAGAAAATGTCAACAAATTTATATTGTTGTTTTCTGTAAAAAAAAAGGATTAAAACTTGCTTTTAATTCTATTGTTAGACCTCTTTAATTCCGCGATATTTTATTGAGTCACTGAAATAGACATTAATAAATGTGTTCTTGTTTAATGCAGATCATGGTAGTCTACGAATTGTTCCACAATCTGGTACAGATACCAACCAAGGACGACTTGACATCTATCTCAATGGTGTTTGGGGATCAATTTGCAATCGTAACTTTAACACTGCTACAGACGGTGTGGTAGCCTGCATACAGTTGGGTTACCGTAAAGCTAGTTCATCAATATACACGGTTTCTGCTAGCACACCTCCGATCCTCGATAATGTACAATGCTATGGCAATGAGACAGGACTGTTGGATTGTGGGAATGATGACATTGGGATAATTGATGCTAGCTGTAATGCTAATAGAGTGGTTAACATTTGGTGCAGCGGTAGGTTCACACATAGTTTTTCTGTCCAACACTTTAGGTTGGATTCGGACGTAAACTCAATACATGGGTAATCTACTAATAACCTCGGGGCTAAATGTGACGGTCGTTCGGACGAGTAGAATAACAATCCATTTACCCATTAATTTGACGGAAGTTACGTATTTTACAAGCTTCTGCAAGGTCAGAATTCTGAATAGTTCGTGACCTGAGTGACGACCCCGTGTCAAATTAGCAATGTTTTCGCGGCAATTTCAATACTTCATACACAAATTTACGCTATTTTTGCTTATTTTTTATACAATTTACTCATTTCCTTGTGATTATCCTTACAAATTGACGCCGAATTATGATTAACCCAGCCGACCTAACTATCATGACAACTTTTATATTGCTTCTCGACGACGGATTTGATCTAAACCAAGCTTTTCGTCGAAGAAAGTACAGCAACGACGAAGACAACGACCAGCGTGGAAAGAAAGCTTGGGCAACAACGCGAAGAATCATGCAGCGTGGTCGCGAGCTTCTTTTTGTCCAGTGCAATCTGACCCGACGTTGTTAACTTGTGACCTGGGCCTTATTACGGGTAATTAATTACGCCTTGAGGCAAGGTGTAATTGAAATATCCAGTAAAAAAGGTGGGTTTTTGGGCCAGATGTTTTTCGAATTTTCTATACCCAGGGGCATTATTTAATTGCCGCACGCGACCGCTCAGCTGGTGGTACCCAGTTAAATTTTACTCGTCCGAATCGGCCCATAGTCACATTCCATGCTTGGAGGATCTTCAAAATTTATCCAAGCAAAAAGCATATATCAAAGTGCATGATGTCATTCTACATTTTGAATATTAAAAAACATGTGAATTAAACTTTTATGTTAACCTCAATTTCAAGCTTGATTGAAAGCAAAATTACTGTTTATAATAAATGCAAACAATTTTTGCTCTCAACCTATGAAATTATGTAAGGTAGATAAACTGAAAATGCATTGACCTCCACATGGTCTGGTTCTATTATGCAATGATTAGCCCTCTGCATAATTCTTGCCATTTGAGGCATAGTTCGAGTCTCACTGAAGAAATATTTAGAATAATATTGTAATCTAAGCCTACCTTTTTTATTTCATTGTGCTTTCATTAGGCTATCATTCAATATAAATTTCTGTGTAAATATGATTTTTTTTTAAAATTCAAACTTGGATTAAGTTTTTATATGTTTTGTTGTTGCTTTTTTTTTGTTGTTAAAAACAAAAAATGAATTCACCCTAAACAAAAGCCACTTTAAAGTAAGGGTTTTTTATTGGTGATCCGCTACACTAGCGGATCACCTATTGTTATTGTACAGAATCATCTTTTTTTTATTCTTCTTTCTTTCTCCCCTTTTCTGTTCGCACGATATCTCAAAAAATGCCACGAGTTACGCTCGTGACAAATCGCTGTCAGCGAACATTTGGCTTGGTCTGGAATAGTCATGGTAAGCTTTTCAGCGTGCTCAGTCATGCGTAACGTCATCTACGCGCAATTTTGCGTTTTTACATTATCGATCATATCAGCCTAACCAATTGCCATTTAGAAATCGTATTAAGTGAGCATTAACTTCGGGTTAATGTTGAATGTACAGTACCCTAATTTGACGCGTGCGCTTATTAACGCGCAAGCACGTGCATGTCAAAATTTTAAAATGCTCGAAATCACTTTTTGACTAAATCAGAGCACGTTTTAGGAAATTTTGAGCATTTCAAATCTTTTTGAAATTTTCCACTACGCGCGCGCATTTTTACGTGCACAGCACGTACGAAAGCTAGAAATTACGTTATTTTACATATTTTGGGTTCCTGACATTGTTTTCACAAATGTGCATTCATTTCAGTCATCTTTTGGCCAATAGCAATGCCATACGTGCGCATCAAACAGTGAAATTATGCTAAAATCAGACCTATTTTTAATCAGTTATAGCTCCTTGGGTTAAAAGGTGACCCCCAATTTTTATTACGTATTCTGAAAGCACATAAGTTGTAAATATGATTTTATAGATCATAATGGCTGATCGGACATTGTGACGTCATCATATTGGCATCTGAATTCAAAGAAAGTGAATTAAAGCTATGACATCATTTTTTAAAATACGCATTTGAGCGTATCTCGCTTATCCTTGGTCGATCGTCTTCCAACTTTGAGTATGTTTTAGCTGAGACAATTCTCTTTGATATATTTGACTCCTTCTTACATTTTGATGACATCATCATGGTCAAAAAAATTATTTTTTCTGACCCCCTCATTTCTCTTTCTTTAAAACGTTGATGACCCCATATAATCTTAACCATTCGTCATTTCTAAATCATATTAGGTGAGCATAAGCTTCAGGTCAAGGTTGAATGTTATGTACCTTAATTTTCCATTCGCGCTTTTTAGCGTGCACGTACGCGTGTGTCAACATTTACATATGCATAAAAACCATGAATATTTTTAATCAGTTATAGCTCCTTAGGATGAAAGGTGACCCCCAATTTTTATTACATAATCTGAAAGCACGAGTTGTAGATAGGATTTTTTACTTCATAACGGCTGATCGGACATTTTGACGTCATCATATTGCCAATTGAATTAAAAAACTGAATTTTTATTTATGATGCCATTATGTTTATACTCGTTTGAACGTATCTCGCTTATTCTTGATTGATTTTCTCCCACCTGTGAGTATGTTATAGCTAAATCAATTCTCTTTCAGACGTGTCCCTTTATTTTTTATTTTGATGTCGTCATCATGGTCAAAAAGAATGCTTTTTTTGGAGCCTTCTCATCTTTCTTTCTTAAAAGATGTAAACACATTGAAAATTGAGGGCGGCAGACTGTATTTCGACACTATCAGACCGATAGTTCGTATACTGTAAAGGCAAACTTTGTGTGGCATTACCAACCAACAGGGGGTTTTAATTTAAACTTGACAAGGTTGAAATTCATGTGCGATCACCGTCGTCAAGCACGTCGTATAAGGTATTCGTACTTGTGCGTTAAAATTTTAAAATCGTTAATATCACTTTTTAGATAATTTAAAGCACGTTTTAGGTCATTTTGAATATTCCAAAACTTTCCAAAATTTACGCACCGTAGCTGGAAATTACGTTTTGGTTGCATGTGTTGGGTTTGTGACACTGTATTAATACTACCGTGCGCACGGACGTTAAGACGTATGTGTACACATTCGTAAGTCCTTAAAATGCTCAAAATTACTCTTTTCCTTTAAAATTTCTTTTAAAATGCTCAAAATTACTCTTTAAATATGGCATGTTTTAGCATACAAAACTTTTCTATCAGAACCGCACGTGCTTCGTGAAGGTCAAAGTAACGTCCTCAGTGACGGGTTCAAATCTAGTTTAAATAATAATTTTTTTTTTTAAAGGTAAGGTATTATTCTTTTTAAATTTTTACTATTTCTGCTATGAAATGCTTGCATCAAGGGCTGAAGCATGGCATGGACCATTTCAAATCACTTCAATGCAACTTGGGGTTGTCGAAGATTTACAGATTATTGGTGTTGGGCCGTAAAAAACAAGGTGTGTTCTAGTCCGGAAAGATTGGCGGCCGCACGCATATGGTTTGAAAATTTTTTGCAAGCCACAATAAAGTGACAGGCGGGGGGTGCATGTGGCACTCAGGCTGCACTTTGTCCCCCTGTGCTCTAACTAATTGATCAAATTTTGTGTGTGATTATTCTTCCAGATATAATTGATATTTGTGAAGATGTTGGGCCTGATGCCTTTCACTGTGATAATGTACATTGTGTACCCTCTAGTGAAAAATGTGATTTTTCAAATAACTGTGGAGACAATTCTGATGAAGCTTCATCAATATGTGGTAAGTAGTGTGTGAAATATTTTGTTAAAGACATTTGTGAGTTTGTTTTGCATTTGGAATTATTAGATGTTGAGGAAATTGAGGAAAAAAGCGTTTTTAAAAATTATATTATATACATAAGTACTGGCATTAGTAAGTCAAAAGCTGCTATATGCCACAGCTGCCATGCCACCATGTTACTGAGACCATCACCAACATGTCACCACTATGCAACCACTACTGTATCTATCCCATTATTCCCAAGATATCCATCATCATTACCCTTGTACTTGCTTCCGCTGGTGTTATCGTTGCTGTCAATGTCACTGTAATCATCGTTATCATCACAATATTCATTCATCACCTCATCCTAACTATTACATTACTGTACTTATTTTAATATTTATATAATGTAATAATTCAAATTTTAAAAGTAACTTGTTGCCAGCTTCAAAAGAATTTATTTTTTGTGAGCATTGAAGATTATTCAGTATTAAAATGAAATTATGTCTTTTGTTAGATGTGTACCCTGGTAGAGCAAACTTCCAATTTGATTTTGGTGAATGGTCCCAACCAGAAACGAATGGTGTTGATTGGTCAAGAAGTAGGGGTCTGGAAGGCTCCGGGGGACCACCTAAAGACCACAAGAATAAGATAGGTATAGTAGGCAAACTTTATATAATTAATTATTGCAATGCAGAATTGGAGAGATGACCAGTAATAATAATAAACAAAATATCTTGGAGAATTAACATGATGAGGTTGGGTTGGGGAAGTGAAATAACACTAGCCCAGCTAATGAAGTGATGTTTCAGCCCTATAATGTCCAGCAACAGTGGCGGATTCAGTAATTGGAAACAGAGGGGCACTACAGATAGAGGATCTATGCCACCTCAGCCCCACCATGGTTGTTGCTGAGGTAAGAAAATTTATGATTTTAGCATCCTGGCCTAAAAATTAAATAATTTTCTATTTTGCTATTATAATATTAGGATGTATAGAGGTCTATTTTATACACATCTGGCTGGTGTGCACTGTAATAAACCTATTGCCTCTTTCGGAAGAGTGGGAGAGTTAACACAATGCTATAGTTAATTTCAGCCCCCGTCACTGTAGAATGATGTAAACATGAGCCTACTATAAAGCACCATACCCATACGCAATTCAGCACAATGACGCTATTCTCCTTTACCCTTCACCTTTTACGTTTACCTTTTATGGGAGACCGTTATCTTTTCAGATGACTACTACCTTGTTGTTGCCGGCTCCAATGTAGGGAAGAAAGCACAGCTTTGCTTAGACATGCCATTTGAGGCAAACCCTACAAACTGCTCTGTAAGTTAAAGCTATAAAGGTCTAGTTATTTAGAGTAAGGTGTCGCCTGAGATATAATATAAATTAGGTATTTATTCATTGTGTTGAAGTGCATCATCACTCTCACCATTATGTATCATTTATCTGCTGCCATCTTTGCCAGTACCATCCTTGTCGTAGTCATTATCACCATATTAATGACATCATCATCAGAGTAATCATCCACATTATTGTCAATCATAAATATTTCTATAACCTTGAATTCTCATTATTATCATTCGCCTGAAGAAGTTAGCTGGAGCTAGCAAAGCCTTGTCTCAAATACATTTGTCAAACCAGGGTGCTACCCATTTTGTCTGTTTTCCTCTTATTATAATACAATGATAACGTTTGCTGCCATACATCATCCCCAGTAGTATGTGTTCAGGATCATAATTTTAATTTAATACAAACACTGTCTTTTCCTGCTACAGATCCGATTCTATTACTATCGGAACTATAAGGATACTGGTACGATAGATATGATTCAACGAACATCAAGCCCAACAGAGGTATGGTCTGTTGCGTCTGAATACCAGTCCAGTAGTCAGTGGAAATATGAGGAGCTGGTAATCACTTCCTCTGAATCATTTCACATCTGCTTTGAGGCCACTATTTCCAGTTTGGGATATGGCTATCTTGGCCTAGATGATATATCGCTTACTCCAGGATGTGTTATCGGTAAACAAACCTAATTTATTTTCAGATTGGTGTTCAGTTAAATAGTATTTTTTGTTTGATTGTATAAATAAAACAATTGCAAAGTGCTTATCAAAAATGCATTTATTTATGTTAAACATACAGACTTTATAGGAATTTTTGATATGCCTGCAACATCAGAGCAAGGTTGGGCAAAACCTTATATTATTTATATTAAAGAGTATGAAACTGCATGCAAGAGATCCGACTGCTGTAGCGCCATTTCATTAGAACGTAATTCTTTTTCAGTAAGTATTGCGACAGAGGGGTGTGTCTTTAAAAGATAAGTTTCCAGCAAGCTTTAATCAAATTCTAATAGGGCCCCCCTCCCCAAAATCTTGTGGCAGTACTTTATTTTAACATGGACATTGTGTGCATACAAAATCAGGGCAGATGAAACTCTTGCAGTTTTATCTATACTCTTTGGTGTGAATGAGGTTTCTTCGACAGAGATATGGTTAATTATTAATGTATTTTCTTTTTAATTAATAATAATAATTATTGTTGTTTTTATTTGTTTTATATTATGTTCTATTATCTAGTATATGATTTTCTATGTTTTATGATTTTGGTATTAGTACATATATTATGCAATGTGCAAAGACTTTCCATCTTATAATTTTAGGTGCTGGAGAGTGTGAATTGACAGGCCCAACATTTATTTGTGATGATGGTTTATGCATCCATGAAGAGTATCTGTGCGACCATGTTCATCACTGCCTAGATGCATCAGATGAAAATTCTACTGTATGCGAAGATCGTGAGTTTAACAGATTTTTTTTTTCAGTTTTTTTTTTTTTGTTATTTGGGTATCTATAATATTTTTGCTAGTTTGAGTGGCACTTTCACCCTATCTTCTGGTAGTGGAATAAGTTGTCTTGGATAACAACTTTGAAATATGGGCCCAGTGTACACAAATAGCTCTTAATCAATAGATGAGAATATCCTTATGTACAGGTCGAGATAGTCCCTGTGGTGAACAGACGAAAGGTCATGCTGTACTAATAGCAGCACAGGCACAAATTCATCCTTTGGGGCCAAGAATAATATTGGAACAAACTACTAATTAATGCATTGAGTGCTATTATATCGCTCAACTAGTTCCTGGATATGTTCCATCTTTTCGCATTCATTTTTCTGACAAATCATTGCTATCTGTTCTTTGTTTCCATACTAAGACCTATGGTGGTCGTACTTTTTCTGTGCTGCATTTTCTCTTTGGAATGAACTCCCATCTTTTGTTAACGACTCTTCCTCTCTTGATTCTTTTAAAACAAACCGTAAGACTTATTTTGACACCAAAAAACTTCAGGGTACAATGCACCTTTGATCATTTTTAGTTCCTATGCATGTAATGCAATAGGAACTATTGGATTCACTTTTTTGCCTGTGTGTGTGGACATTTATGCGCATGCATGAAAAAGTTTTCTGACATTTTGTTTTTCATAGCGATGCGAAGTTCTTCAGTGTTAGCCATGGTGTTAGCTCAGTCTGTTCTCACGTTAACCGATCGCCAAGTCGCCATGGGCGAAAACTCTTTTGGATTCATTTGACCTCCATTTTTTGCCAACTCCATGCAACGTTTATTTGTGTTGTTGTATGAGTAGTCTTGCTGTAAATGTCATTTTGTACCTTGCAAGTTATTTTTTACTTCTAAATGTCATTTTAACTTGGTTGATGCAAGGCAATGGCTGTATTACGTAGTCTAATATGAAGGTACTGTATTTCTGACAGCCGGCTAGTGTAGTAGTGTACTCTTTGAATGCAAACTGAAGGCAAGTGATATAAAGACAGCCGACCGTCGGGAACATAACGACTTTCTAGCTTGGGTTTTTCTGCTGAAACATGAGGTCTGCGATGCAAGGGCCGTGGTAGAACGTTAATAATAGTTTAAATCGATGATCTTGTGTTATCGTCTAATATTTAAAATACATTTAAATAATGCATGTAAAATTTAAGTTTGGACCGCGTGAGTCGCATTGCTATACAGTAAACGTAGCAGAGTGACAGCAGCAAGGCTATATACAGTAAACGTAGCAGAGTGACGGCAGCAAGGCTAGGCCTAGCCTAGGGCCTGGGCTAGATCGTGTACTTTCTTCTGAAGTCATATATCATGCATAGAAACGTTGACGCCAGCAAGGTTCTGGTTTGGACTTGGCGCAGTACAAATGTTTGATTGATTGATTGATTGATCAGCTTTAGGATTTTTACTATTGTTAATATTATTGTGTTATGTATTTGAGGCTTGCCATCCCAAAAACATTGTACTGTCGCTAATTTTTAAACTGAGTAATTAGCATAAGAATTTGGCACAATTGTATACTTCAGTACAAAGAACTGTAATACTTTTACTCATAACTTTTACAATAGTAAGTTGATTCCAGTAAATGACCCATCATTTTTATGCGTATAATGTGAAGAATAAGATATTAAAAAGTCAATTTAAATTTTTTGGTCACTGATGCTGGTTTTGGGATGGCAAAAAAAAAAATATATATATATTTGTTGGATTATTACTGTAGGCTTACTATTATGGTTAATGATAATTGAATTTTGTTATGAGTATTAAATGATAATATTAATATGATTATAATTATAATTATGTTGAGTAATTTAACTTTATAAGAGTTGAAACATCCATTGTTATACGACAGTTGTTTATCACTCTAGGAGTTGGCTACTGCACTTTTCAAGACAGCTTTTGTGATTGGCAGCAAGTTTCCTCGGATAACTTGAATTGGATAAGACTGAATGGTGACACACCAACATCCAACCCTGGTCCATCAGTTGACCACACATTTGAAAATCACTTTGGTAAGCCCCTGCTCTACATTATATTTAGTATACAATATTATAGTTACGATAAAGTAAAGTAAGGGTACCTGTCGACCCAGGAATAGTGCTCGATACATACATAGAGTGAAATAGACAAAAACAAGTTCAATACGCAAAATCTTTTGGGTTACATGTTTATTCCACCATTGCTGCCACTTATTTCACGCCTAAGGCGTTCATTAGGTATAGCGAGACATAACTGTACGAAAACTGGCATAGATATGTGTGTATATATGTTCTAGTACATATGTATTATAATAGGTAGACGTTCCTCAGTAGAGACTTTCTCTGGTGTCGATACAAGTTCGCACCTTTTGAGAGAGCTATTGTTCTTGGAGGTGATTATAAAAAACATTTTCCATACGCAGAGGTTGCACCGTTTTGTTGCGCTGGAGTATGGTTCTGCACACATTGGTGATTTTCCATGTGATGTTGTGTGTTATGCTGTTGTCTTTGAAGTGACCAAAATATTTTTAGAGTTGATCTCATAGTCTAAGGATAGTCAATATAGTTATACGTATATCTTTATGATTATTAATTTTTTTAAGGGCCAAACTATTTTTACAGTTGATCTCATGGTCTAAAGATAATCTCTGAGTTGTTATATTTATGGATCCGGGATGGAAGATTTATGGATCTGGGGTGAATGTCTGAAGTTCAAGTGGTCAAAGCCTCCTGTACCGTCAAGATATTTAAAGAATTTTGGCAATTAAGCAGAAATATACTAATAATATTGGTGGTTGTTTATGCTTTTTCTTTAGGTTACTATGCATATTTGGAGGTATCTTCCCAGGTTACTGGACACTATGCTGACTTGGTTAGTCCATGGCTGACTATAAATGATACTTGCAAGGTAAAACCCATCACATTGGTAAACTTGCTTAACTTATTTTCATGCTGACCTGGTTAGTCCATGGCTGATTGTAAACGATATTTGCAAGGTAAAACCCATGACATTAATAAACTTGCGAACTTATTTTAATACAAAACTGATTAGTCCATGACTTACTGTAAATGATATTTGCAGGGTAAAACCCATGACATTGGTAAACTTGCTTAATTATTTTAATGCTGACATGGTTATAGCCCATACGACCGTCCCTAGGCAAAACAATGTAACTGACATTTTTGTTGATTTTGAGATAATATCATTTGGGAGCATATTAAACACATCTGAATTACCTGTGAAACTTTTAGGTCTCAATAATGAGTCGTTTCGGCGATAACACCATTTTTAAGCACAAAACTTAAAATCCAGTGATTTTCCGTGGCAAAACAACGTAACCACAAGATGAAGATACGTTGTTTTGCCACAGAATGCTATTCAAAAATGGTCTAGAGTCGATGGAGTTTAGCAAGGCAAAATCGAATGGTGTTTTTATATCAATAATCTTAAACAGCGATGTATGAACAGGCTAGGTAATGCATATGCTTGCCCCAAACGTGATAAATTCCAAAAATATGTCGCACATATAATAATAATTATTATTATTATAATATGTCTTACTTGTTTCCGTGACAAAACAATGTATCTGTAATTATCTCCAATAACTTTGCAATAAACAAACGGTTGTAATTAAAATTTTACATATAATCACAATGTCTTTATATACAATCCTAAAAAAATTTAAAAGGCTATGACAATTTATTGCAAAGTTACAAAGATGCAAACTTTAACTGTATTTTACTCCAAAAGTGAAAATTTCAAGTTACGTTGTTTTGCCTCGGAACGGCCGCATGGCTTACTGTAAATTATATACATGCAAGGTAAAACCCACGACATTTGAAAAACTTAAATGAAAAGCCTGATAGGGTGTACGCATGCAATTTCTGTTTGACATTCTGTTTTTTTTTTTCTCTTATCATTTGATCACCGTCTGAATATGTGAAGTACAGTAAATATATTCGAATTAGCGAGTCAAACAGCCAAGCGGTTAAGGCAGGAACGCCGCAGCGTACAGCCATAATGTAAGCATTGGTTCAAAAGGCATGCTCATCTATGGTTCTGGTGGTGGAACCAGTCTTCTTGGACGAGGACTATACTGTAGGCCCAGTGTGCACAATTTGGCTCATGTGAAGAACTTGTAGGCCTACATATTGTTAGTGGGGAGATTTGCATCTTCTCCCCCATTAGACAGACCTGAACCCCCTGTTGTCTGACGCACGACTAGGTCATTGGATCAAAAATTTAAAAAAATAATAATATGCCTATCCAAATAAATGTTATTTTGACTGCCAATACCTAATATTGTGGTCTAAAAGCAAATTTTGGATCATACTAAGCCATAAAAACTCTCCCCATGAACCCCCACAAGGCAGTTTTTATTCCAGGCTGTCGACCCCTTGCCTTGGACCCCTCTGTCGGTTCAGATAGCTCAGACACAAACAGACACTTAGGGGAGCAGCAAGTTATTACAATTTAGTCCACCCCTCATTATTTAATATTAATATATCCACTTTATTGTACTAATATTTTGTATAGAGCCGGTATCCATTAAACAATATGCTCATGGCTCTTGAAGTATAACTGACTATATAGTAGCTTGAAAATTCAGTTGCCCCAAGGATCCCTTCGTGTCTGTGCTACCCTGTCCCGGTAAACCACTAACCAAACTTTTGTCGTCCACCACAAGGGCTGTCAGAATATTTTATTATTATTGGTGATCCGCTACACTAGCGGATCACCTCTTGTTATTGTCAGGATCATCATCATCATCTTTTTTTTCTTATTCTTCTTTCTTTCTCCCCTTTTCTGTTTGCACGATATCTCAAAAAAATGCCACGAGTTACGCACAATCGCTGTCAGCGAACATTTGGCTTGGTCTGGAATAGTCATGTTAAGCTTTTCAACGCGCTCAGTCACGCGTGACGTCAACTACGCGCAATTTTGCGTTTTTACATTATCGATCATATCAGCCTAACCAATTGCCATTTCGAAACCGTATTAAGTGAGCATTAACTTCGGGTTAATGTTGAATGTACAGTACCCTAATTTGAAACGTGCGCTTATTAACGCGTACGCACGCGCGTGTCAAAATTTTAAAGTGCTCGAAATCACTTTTTGACTAAATTAGAGCACGTTTTAGGAAATTTTGAGCATTTCAAATTTTTTTGAAATTTTCCACTACGCGCGCGCATTTTGACGCGCACAGCACGTACGAAAGCTAGAAATTACGTTATTTTACATATTTTGGGTTCCTGACATTGTTTTCACAAATGTGCATTCTTTTTGGTCACCTTTTGGCCAATAGCAATGCCGTACGTGCGCATCAAACATAGGTATCTTTGCGCGTATTTTGCCGCTATACAGTGAAATTATGCTAAAATCAGACCTATTTTTAATCAGTTATAGCTCCTTAGGTTGAAAGGTGACCCCCAATTTTTATTACATATTCTGAAAGCACCATCGTCAAGCACGTCGTATAAGGTATTCGTACTTGTGCGTTAAAATTTTAAAATTGTTAATATCATTTTTTAGATAATTTAAAGCACGTTTTAGGTCATTTTGAATATTCCAAAACTTTCCAAAATTTACGCACCGTACGCTCATTTCCACGCCCACAGCACGTACTGAAGCTGGAAATTACGTTTTGGTTGCATGTGTTGGGTTTGTGATACTGTATTAATACTACCGTGCGCACAGACGTTAAGACGTATGTGTACACATTCGTAAGTCCTTAAAATGCTCAAAATTACTCTTTTCCTGTAAAATTTCTTTTAAAATGCTCAAAATTACTCTTTAAATATGGCATGTTTTAGCATATAATACTTTTCAATCAGAACTGCGCGTGCTTCGTGAGGGTCAAAGTACGGCGGATCACCTAACTCGTCCTCAGTGACGAGTTCAAATCTAGTTTAGCCTTATGATTATATAATTATAAGCCTTTTGATGAGAAAGTGAAACCTGGGCATTAAGGATTTTAATGTGGAAAATGGTTAATTGATTAGTTCCATTTTCTATTTCCTCAGCTGCGTGTATTCTACCATATCTATGGCAGCGACGTTGGGAGCCTTAAAATTGGAACAATGACAAGGTCCTCTGGGTTCCTGTCATTGTTCACAGAAACAAGAAGTAGAGATGAATGGAAAGGTTCAACAGTAAATGCTGGCCTCAGTGTACATATAGGCACTGAGTTTCAGGTAAATATAATTAGTATAGTAGCTTTTGCTATTAACTAGCTAATTAAAATATCAGAACAGCACTTACTTACTGCTTACTGGTCCCGTTACCGGGTGTGGTCGTAGGGTTGCTGCGCACTTGAGCACACAGAACAGCACACACAACCATAAATGTGAGTTCATTCAACAAAAATGCAGTTTCTTGTGGATTCGTGGTTAGTCAACGTATGAAGCAGATATTCAACACACTTTTTCCTGCCAAGCATTGTGCTAATGATGATTTAAAGTTTGTGTTACATCAATTTCACATGACTCAAAACCAATTTCCTTATTAAAAGATACAGTAGAACCTCGTTTTTACGTACCCCAGTTATACGAACCCTCTGTTTTACGTACGCCTCGTATGGACGATGACGTCATCAAAAACCCCGAAAATATTCAAAACAAACGGCCCTTTTGAGAGCAACCATAAGTAAAAAGAATATAACAATAAACTATAACAATAAACACACCATATTGCAACGTATTTTCATTAAACAGCAACGTTGAGTGAGTCTAATACCGGGTTGTTATAATCTAAAACCACGTGAACTGAGTGAGATGAACAACTACCGATGGTGCTCAAAATTATTGCTTTCCTCCTGAGCTTCGTGTGGCAAACCATGGAAGAATTCGTCTGGTCGAACTTTCTACACGAAGCTGAGTAGACATAGTTTCGTACACAAACGCTAATTGGTTGGCTCGCCCAGTGCATAGCACATGGTTGCTATTTCACGTACACGAACGCTAATTGGTTGGCTCGCCCAGT